TAGGCCTACCTCAGTGAGATGGGGTTTAATGGAAGGAAAAGGGAGCACGGCAGGCAAATTTTCTCTATCCTTCCTGTTCTCAGAAATTTGTCCAACTGTCTTTCCTTGAGTCTCCCTCCACTTGAATGCACTGTCCAAACATGCACTGAAGATCTGCTGTGTGCCAGGCAGTGTACTAGGATCTCGGCATACAACAGAGAATAATATTTGGTCTCTGCTTCTGGTATTTCATTTTGACTTTAGTGCTGAGAGTAGCATGCAATTACATAATATCTATTTGAAAGATTAATTGTAAGCAGACAAATGTCAGGCAAAGGCCAAATATTATGATTTTAACAGGTATTTGTAAAATAGTAAAATTTCAGGTGAAGAACGACTCCTGTGTAACAACCATGACCACCTGTGGCAAGCTATTTGTCTAAGGCTTCTTCAGATCTACAAAGCTAAAAACATAATAGTCTTTATTTACCAGGATGAGGAGATTAGGACAGCAGGAGAGTAATTTGGTGAGAAGAGGTCCTTAGAGGCATTTGCCTAGTGGTTTTCTTGATATTCAGCTTTATGTCTCTCATAGTCATTTCTCCTACTTTTTCTGAGTTTCAGATTGTGCCAAATCAAATTCTGCTTATTCACTCCTAATTGAGAATACTCAAGATATGTTTACTACAACTATTTGCTTGTAATTCTTAAAACCTATTCTAAATTATGTTCACATTTATTTTACTTGAATTTGCACCTTGGGCTGCATATTTCTTTTGCCAAGATGGTCTAAGGAAGGTATATTATTTCTACTGTAGTCTTACCAAGGTCTTTAAAAAATAGTATTACCTTGTGATAATTTCTAAGAGTATGACTTGTTCCCTTTCCTAAGCACACATTTTTTAGAAGCTTAAAAAAATACATTCTTTGGTTCTTTAAGGAAACAGATCATGTTAGGGTAGCAATAAAAGACATGAGCTAAAACCACAGACTGTCAGATTTGCCTTCTTGTACGGCTCTGTGCCTACCCTGATTGGGTAAGCCCCTCCACATGTATCTGGGCTTTGCTTCCTCATCAATATAGTGGAGAACATGGGCTATATGATGCTGACCTGCCTTTTCCATTCTTCAAAATCTGTAGATTTTAATTTGCTGTGACTTCCAAAGGGCACTGGATTTGACACACTGGTGAGCTGAGCAGGACTGTCATCATCCCTTACATCTCTGTAATATCTTGATGAAATTTTATTGCTTCATTTTATCTCAAATCTGTATCTATCTGATAATCATGTGTCCTTCTGCCACGTGTCCTTAGCCTCTTTTTTTCTTTTAATATTTAGTGTCTGCATTTGAACCTGAAAGAGATTTTACAGCCCTACGAAAATGGTAAGTGGCTGAGAATTAAATAATTCTTCCTAGCAAGGGTTTGCCTCATCCCGTTGTATCATAAACCTGTAGAGTTGAGTCCTATTTCACAGAGCTGCCCTTTTGGTTTTTACTCTCCATGCCTTAATTCCATTTCTCATTATGTCCCATCTATACTTATTTAAATCTGTTACTGTAACCAACCCACTAGAATTCTGCAAGCTAAAATAGCATATTATAGAATTCTTAAAATTTACAAAATACTTTCTGTAGGAATTTGAACTTAAAAATCAGCATTGAACCAGTCAACTGTGAAATCTCCTGGAAGAGGGACCCCAACCAGAAGTCACCTTGAATCTTAATCTCTATTTTCTTCTTTCTTTCTTTCTTTCCCTCTTCTTCTATCTTTTCTTTCTCTCTCTTTCTTCCTTCCCTCCCTCTTCTTTTCTTCCTTTTTAATTACAAACTGAACTGTAAAATATTAAGAATCCAACTGGCACTAGAATCAATGTTAAGTTTGTATATGTGCAACTTATTTTCTGGTTAAGAAGGCAGAGCACCAAGATACTTACGGAATCAGCTCTGCTTACCCCTTACCTGTATAATGTGTGGGCTTAAAAGCTGCCTAGGTAAGGCTGCTTTACCTCCTTTCCTTCTGCATTGCTTTGCTGATTCTTTGACCTTTGCTCTACTCTGTAACTTGGCTCCATTGCTCCCATGGGTCCTTAACTGATAACACTGTCTACATTTGTTTTCCTTACATTTTTTGTGTGGAAGTAATCCAAACATTCTTCCACCTATACTGATTTCTCATAGTGGACCAAAGAAGGAGGTGAAAGCAAAGAAGAAAAAGGAAAAGAGAAAGATGGGGAAGGAAAAGAGAGGCCACTCTTGGCATTGCTCTCTTAATATTTACTTGATTTTTATAATTTAAGATTATATTTTCCCATATTCAAACAAACTCATTCTTCTTTTCTTTCTTGAGAAAAACTAACAGCATTTTTTTGCTTATTATTTTTATTTGCTTTTAAAAGCTGCTGATATCCTCAGCAGTGCAATAATCTCTTACCAGTTCTTGTTAAGACAGATATTCAAAACATCCTGGTGTTTTGTGGAAATAAACATTTGCCATTATTTCATGGAAATAAACAGTTTTATTGTCCATTAGGGCTTACTAAAACAGCAGCACCAAATTCAACTAAAGTAGCAAAAGCTTGGGCAACTATTAGGCAAATGAGTCAGAAGTAAAAACTATCATTAAAGTTGCAGGGAGCCTTTTAGAATTAAAATTTCAAAATGATTTGCTTTGGGATTTGGAGTAATATAGAAATGCTAGTTTATGCAGCAGAGAATCATGCAAATACGTGATAGGGCAATGTGGCTTTTTGTGAGAGCTCACGTAACCAAAATTTAGGGACAAATTAAGTGGGCTTCATAATCTCAAAAATATCTTGATCTTTTAACAGATTTTTAATGTCCTCCATGGACAAGCAACAGCCCGGCAACATTCAGCTTTGATCAGACTATACCTGGAGTTCTGTGTTCAGTTCTGGTCACCTCAACGTAAGGTGGATATGGGCACACTGGGATGAGCATAGGAGCCAGCAGTGATGGCGAGGGAACAGTGGTGATCATATAGCTTGAGATTTAAAAAAACACGAAGAAAAATGAAGGTGTTTTTAAAGATCAGAAGGATTGTCGCATGAAGAGGCAGATTTTGTTTTAAATATTGCCAACTGTATCAGAGCTTTAATTAATGAAAAGAAGACTGAATCAGTGAAAAGGACACTCAATAAAATAAAGAATTTCTAAGGTCATCGCAGTTCACGATGGAATAGGCAGTCTGGGAATTCCCATCATTTGGACAAAGGGCCTCCCATCAGCAGAGGATTTTACAGAGGCGACTCCTGCACCAGATGGCTGTTGTTCACACTGAGTGGCCTTTAAGCAACCCCTTCTGACATTAAAGTCTACAACATTATGAGATCAAACGCCACGCAATTCCAAAAGCCCATGAGCACACCCACAAAGCAAGGGCCAAAGAGTCTAGAGAAAGATGGGTAAAATGAGAATTAAGTTTGCTGTTGAATTTTAAATTTCCAATCTGAGATAAATCTAAAGGACATGATTGTCATTTCTAGTTACACAGCTAGATAAATTATTTTCAAATGAAGGGATTCAAAATTTCTCCTGTTTTAAAATTTTTTTTCAAAGTATTGGTTTGGTTATTTGGTGACTACATATATAAGGCTGTTACACAGTCCATTCAAACTTGGCCTCTCATCCATGCTGCAGTTTTGGGACATTTTGTTAAAAACTAGCATAGTTTTAGGTCTGTGAGTGTTTATTATATTTCACAATAATTTCGTTTGAAAAATGTACTATTGATGTGTTTTGTGTTTGTACACATCTATGTGAGAACATCACTTTTCCTTTACCTTCTACACAAAGAAATTGGTCTGAAAATGTTGCATAAGAAGGCATTGAAATGTAGTATGACAGTAAGGCATGTTATTCTTAAAATCCTAGAGATGATACAAATATCCAATCAGAGATAGGACAGAGGTAAACATATAGCTGATGTTTTAGAAGAAAAGAAAGAAAAATGAGTAAAAGTCTTTAACATTTATCAAAACAACGAGACAGGTGCTTAAAGAATGTAGCTCTTCCTGGCACGCAGTTCTCAGCCACAAGACCCTTACATTAGGCAGTCACTGAATTAATTTTTAAAAATTAAAGTGACTGGATCAGATATGCTTTTTCACTATGTAGGTTTGCAATTAAATTTGTACAAATCAAAGAAGGAACCAATAATTAAAATAGGGAAGATTGCCTAAAAGTAGACAAAGACTAGCAGCACTAAGACTGATCCAAGTGGAAAATACTACATGAGAAATGGTAAAGGAGGGGGAAATAAGATAGAATGTGGTTCTAGAGAGACCAATGATGCAAGAAAGAAACAATTATTAATACTAGTGTAAGTAAAATTTCACTATTTCAGTAAAACTCCAAAATTTGCCATCTTTACGGTATTTATGCACTATGAAAATGCTAGCTTTCCAATAAATCTTTGAAAAATGTCATTCTTTAATATGTCTGTCATGATGTGGTCAAATGCATTGATTTTTAAGTAGGGCAGAAAATAAACACTTTGTTTTAAGCACATGAAATATAGCTACAATCATTTCTATTTTGATCTCTTATGAAATCAATATTGAAAATTCGCATTTTGAAAGCAGTTTTCTTCAGGTTGAGTTTTCATTTTTCAGGTTCAAAAACTACAAAGCTTAGAGTATATTTTAGAATGGGCATTTAATACCTTATCTGTAAGGCTACCTTCTCTTATTTATTTAAAAAAATACTTCAGCTATAAACATTAATCCTATTTCCCTTTCTACAAATGGAAACAATAAAAACATAATCCAGATAATTAGTGACACTTGTATTTTCAAGTTGGAAAATAGGTTTGAGGAGGAGGATTCAAAGAGGCGAAAAGAAGACGGTATTACCAGGTACATGTTATTTAAATGATACATCAATTAATAATTGCAAGATAAAATGAAAAGTTAGTAATTCAAGGAAGTGTCACATTTCAAAGATAAGAAATAGAAGATAAAGCCAGTAAAGTTTTTACCACAATAAAAATTCACAAATACCTTCTTCCACATCTGAGATATATTCGCCATCACTGAGCATTTCTGGGGCATTGGCTTTACGAACTGCATGATTTAAGTGAACAATGTGAGTGTATGAAAAATGCATACTCTTGATACTACAACAGAACATGATCAATGTTTCTAAAAACATGTTTGTAATTAACTTTCTTTAGGAAACAAATACACAGTCACTCAATTATTATGAATTCAAAGCGCGTTTTCATACCTTCATCATCGGACATATCAAGAACTTCATTCATTGTTTCTGGAACATTCATTTTGTGCTTCTCAATGATAGTCTAGTAAAAAAAAACCCAGGCATTTTAGTGTAAGCATAATGCACATTTTAATGAGACTATTAATTTCTTTCTAAATTAATAACTTGGCTTATTGTGGGACTTCTGTGTTGAAGACCCTTAAGTTCCCACATACAAAATGATATCAAAATTGTAGCTCTAATGTCCTTACCATGTACACCGCACAGAATGAATACAAGACAAAAGAATTTCAGCAGCAAAGCACACCAGGTTAAGATATTTTGGTCTCTCATAAGGCTTTTTCAAAGGAAAAAGGGAGATACTGCTTCTCCTAGTTCACCGGTATATTTTTTCATGGTCTGATCATCCTGCTACCCCATCCCATCAAAAGTTGTGGCTGAAGATGAGCCACATGAATATAAGAACTGTTTTCATTGCTTGTGTCAAGCCAGCCACTAATTTGTCTTCCCCTCCAATGTGCACATTTGAATTCCCAGAATAAATCAAAACATTAAGACAGCATAAATTCTGTAATTGTTAAAAGTATGTGTGTGAAGAAAGAATTTTAGAGATCACACATTTGCAACATCATTTTAACTGCAACATTTAAAGCATGATATATCACAAAGGCCTTACTGAATCTCACCTGCTCTTTCACCTATATTGACTGTATCTGTCCCAAAGACACTGATGGCATTACTTGTTAGAAAAAATTAATGACTTAATGTTTTAGTTTTAAAATGTGTTCTCTTTTAATCCAAAGCATATGAAAGGTTAATGGTACAAAGTAAGATACATATTTAAATAAGCCAATTGAAAACAAGCTAGGCTCTTAAAACTAAGATACAGCACAAACTCATTGTTTCTCAGGGACAATATTTGGTAAATGTGATTTACATCCCCTGTCCTCAATTCTTGTGTTGTAATAAAGCATTATTTGGTATCCCTTCCAGCATGTAGTAATGCAATTGAATATTAAGAAAAATTTTTGTATTTTATATTAGAACAGATTTAGATTTACAGAAAAATTGTGAGTATAGTACAGCATGCTCACCAAGTTTCCCCTATACACAAATTACATTTACATTAATTATATACCTAATATAGTTACACTTACATTAGTATGGCATATTTGTCATAATTAATGAACCAATAATTAAATAAATTATTAATTAAAGTCTATATTTTTTATTTCAATTTCCTTAGTTTTTACTGAATGTTTTTCTGTTCTAGGACCCAATCCAGGATACCATATTATCTTTAGTTGTCAGGCCTCCTTAGCCTTCTAGGGCTGCAACAGTTTCTCAGACTCCCCTTGTTTTTTAGTGACCTTGACAGCTTTTAGGTGAGCTGGCCAGGTATTTTGCAGGAAGATCCCAAACTTGGATTTGTCTCGCATTTTTCTCAAGATTATATTGGGGTTGTATGTTTCCAGGAGGATGACCACGTAGGCCAAGTTCATTTGCATAACATTGTATCAATGGTACATACTATCGCCATAGTTTACCAGCACTGATGTTAAGCTTGGTCACCTGGGTGAGGCAGTTTGTCAGCTTTCTCCATTGTAAAGTTTCTCCAGTTCCCCTCACTTCCAGACTGCTCCCTTTGGAGGGAAGTCAGTATACTCAGCTCACACTTCTGCAGTTAGGAATTATGTTCTACCTCCTTGAGGCTGAAGTATTCCATAAATTTTCTGGAATTCTTTTGCCTGAGAAATCTGTGTCATTGTTCCTATTTATTCAGTCATTTCTCTATATCCGTATGGATGCATGGATATTTATCTTATACTTTGCCTTATACTCTAATACTATTTTATTTCATTTATTCCAACCAGTCCAGCTTTGGCCATTGGGAACTCTCTGTTGATTCCTGTGTCCCTTTGGCAAATTCCTATTATTCTGTGTATGCGTGGTTTTTTATTTACTTATTTGGTGGGAGGGAACTTTCTTGCTTTTTGGCACTACAAGATGTCCCAGGCTCATCCTGTGTGTCTCCTGCCCCAGTTCTAGATTCAGCCATTTCTCCAAGAAGTCTTGGCTCCCTTTATTAGACAATGGATTAGAAAGCAGTATCTGAGTGACAGATGTGCTCTGCTCATCGCTACTGGGGGAATTAAATATTTTAAACAGTGCAATCTAAATAGCTTAATTCATATCTATTGAATATCAGCTTCCAACTCTGCTGTGATTGTAATGTCATGAACAAAAGCATCTTTCTCAGAATTACATCACACACACACACACATATATATGGAAGACACAGTCTTCTTTTTAGGGTTTTTGTAAAACAACTGTGTGACATACAGAGACAACGGCTGCTGGGGCTTTTGTAACTGTCCATGCAAAGATCCATCTGTGGTGGAGGTTGTGCTATTTACTTAGCTTGAAATCAAGGCCTCCACCCTGAATTGCATCATCCTCATCTAAGCTAGACAACATGGAACTGCTAAAGAAGAGCTGACAAGGTGGTGTCTCAGCCTGAAATAAAGTCCCAAACACCACACTTCTGGGCAAGTCTTAGGGACTCTGAGGCACTCTTTTCTAATCAACGTGAGCACTTCATTTGGTGGAAGTCTCATTTACTTCACTTGGTAAACTGGACCTTTCCTGTTAGCATGAGCCCTGATTTCTCTGTCTAGCAGAAAGTCACCTGACAGAGTCAGCGATGACACTGAGAATGAAATGGCATGATCCCTGTACATATTCTATCTTTTATGGGGAACAGGAGCCTTAAAACCCTGGTCTCTCAGTAGATCTGAGGCTGTAACTTTACTTTCTCTGTCTGTAATCTTATTTTTTCCCAGAGCTTTTTTGATATCAAACAAATATTTTGAATTTTCTTAAAAGGTGACAAAGTTGTTTACATTCAAACAAGTAAGATTTATATTTTGAACTAATATACAAGTTTCAATTCTCTAACTTGGAACAAAAGCTTTACATATTTATTGCAGTGAATTCAAATCCTTCATAGCATTGTGACCCTTGACCATTGTTTTAATACCTCGTCCTTCTCCCTCTGCTTCCCCCCCCAGAGTGAGCTACACGGGGTAGCTATAAAATTAATGTTAATGAACATTGTTTTAACCCTTTTCTCGAGAAAATAGATTTTAAGATAATGAAATGGTCAAGAGGTATATGAAAGCAATATGTGGGAATTTATCTCTATACAAACTATACCTTGAAGTTAGAAACATGCTCTGTTGATAACCATTGCTCTAGTCCATTAAAGCTACTATCTTTTGCAAATTATAATTTCTCTCTTGTGATCAGCAGGCTTATTTTTTAGATTCTGAAGACTGCACATAAGCAAATAATTCAACTGGTAGGTAGTTATAGAGTCCCTCAGCCCATGTTTTTAAATATGAAGCACTGTGTGTACAAACTGTTTTCAGACGCTAAGCCTTCTTCATGCTGGAGGGTGGCCGATGAGAAAAGGAGGCAGAGCTGGTAATTCCAAATGTCCCTGAGTCCTAAATTTACATTGTACAGAGTCAGTCTCCAGCCTGTGGGTTGAGTCATGGAGTCAGGAATAACCTGAATAAGCCTCTGATATGGTGCAATATCTGTTCTTGATTCCTAAGTTACCAAAACCCGATGCAGTTCACAGGCGCCAGATGGGGTTCAAAAGAAATGACTTATTCTAGAGGCTGTAGCTTGTAAAAGTTTCTGATGCATTAAGGCCTCCTGGTAAAGATTTCCTTTAAGTTTTAATAAAATGTCCTATTGTTTTTCCTATGAAAGTTCCAGGAGGTAAGTGGAAGAGAAGTAAGAGTGGTAGTAAAAATCAGTTTTGACCCTACCTCTAAGGTTTTATTTTTATAACAATGTAAAATATTTTTTACAGTAATGATGATAATGTATTCATTATCAGAGCTCTGGGAAATCTACAGTACTAGAACCACTCTTAGTGTAACGCGTTGCTTACCGTCGTGGTGGTGGTCTCCTCAGTCACCACCTTCAGGGTGTCAACCACTGAGATGTAGCCAAGCCGACGGGCGATGGCTAGGGCAGTGTTCCCATTCTAGCAAGAAGGAAATGTGGACAAGGAATTAAGGAGCCATTCCACACATCTCAGTGCCTGTATGTTTCCACACATTTCACTGTACAAAACACAAGATGAGCAGCTCATTGGCCCCATCCCAGTGTCACACACACAATGCTATTTCACTGGAGACATACCTTGCACAAAATCCACCTAACCTGCTCCTACTCATGCAGCAGAGTCTGGGCTGCTACAGATAGAATCCAAGAGGCTTTATAATAGTTTTAAGTAATCAAGGAAACAAATATGTATTTCTTCTTATGTATGTCCTTCCTACTAGGTGGCAATGGATTAGTAGTTTTCAAGTGTGAAACACTAATCACATCTCTCTCTCTGCACAGCCCACAATATAGCTTTGTCCTTCCCTTCTCCCTACTGAACGCTATGTTTAGGCCTATCAGTGAAAGTAAAAAAGCAACACTGGTGCACAACAAAAGATGTAGTAGGAAGACACCAGCACCAGGCCACTTCCCCTTCACCCCCACTTCGTTGGCCCTTCACTCTTACCACAGTGAGCTCGTTGGGGGAAGCACTGTTCTGAAGGAGGACGTTTATTATGTGTGTGTGTCCCTGTTGGGCTGCTTGATGTAGCGGTGTATACCCATTCTGTCGAAGGAAGATGGAAAAATGCTCTTACTTCCTTGGGCACAAAGTCAATGATTTTGATGGATGCAAAGGAGAAAGGAGTTTACCTTTGTTTTGGCATTAACTTTTGCTGAATGCTGGAGCAGGAAATTAACGATCTTGATGTTCCCATAGTGGCAGCCCACGTGGAGTGGTGTGTATCCCATCTGTAATTATGTTTTTGAAAAAAAGAAACCTCATAAGTGTAAGTTTAGTCATAGCTATCCTAACAGGAGGAGCACAGACATTATGTAACTTTTCTTTTTGAGCTGGCAAAAAGTTTTTTCTCCATCTGTTAAAAAAAATGCCCTTCTCAGAACTAGTCTTAGGGATAACAAACAATACCACATCAGCCATAAATTGTTATTTAACTTCCCAAAAGGCTCTCTTGCTTCAACTCATTTTATTCTCATACTTACTTTTCAAGGTATGAAGGAAAGACGGAGCAATTGACAGCCTGGACAGACTGATTGAGAGGTTTCTTGTGGGTGGACATGAACAGTGTTATATGGACAGACTTAGACTAGAATTTATTGAACATTCTACTATCCAGAGGCGCACAACTGAGATAAAAAAATTGTAAGTGGCTAAATGATAATGCCTGGCAGTAAATGATTATCAGAGTGCATGAGAGAGACAGGAAGCATGGCAACATTGAAGTAGGAGGCTGGTGTGAGCTCAGGAGGTTGAAGAAGTTTGAACCTGATCTTGGTATATATGCTGTAGGTAAAGTCTTCTGCCTACCTAGCTGGAGTCTCACAGTTTGAAAACCCCTGATTTAGACAGAACAATGGAAGGTTGATCAAATTAATATCCACTGATTCCTGAGGGGCTGTAAGTTCTACCTATAAAGAATGTAAAAATATTTTTAAAAATGTTACATATATGTGTGTGTATACTCATTTTTAAAAATAAAGATATTTCATATATCAATGACACTTCAATAAAAGAAAATAGAGATATTTCAGATACCTTTCTAGATGGCCACATTGTAACAGACACCAATATGCAACCTCAGTGCCCATGTTCAATCTATGTTTATGACACTGGCAGCACCAGAGGGAGAGCATTGAGTTTAACATCTCTAAATGGTCGTGGGTCAGGGGTTGGGAGGTCTCATATTTTCAAGAGTCTGTATCCCATATCTGACGGCACTAATGTGTCTTTATGGTGACTCTATGCTGCAGACTCAGTGTTTGCATCCCCTGAAATTCATATGCTGAAAACCTCATCCCCAGTGTGATATCATCTGGAAATGCGATCTGTAGGGGGTAATTAGTTCATGAGGGTGGAACCCTCATTGATGGGATTAGTGCCCTTATAAGAATGGGATTAGAACTGCTATCAAGTGAGGATGCCATGAGAAGCTAGAAAATGGTCATCTGCAATCCAGAAAGAGCGCCTCACTGGGCACCAGATCTCCCTGCACTTGCTCTTGGACTTCCCAACCTCCAGAACCATGAGAAAAAGGTTGTCCCGTCTATGGTGTACTTGTCACAGTGGCCCACTGATGAAGAGGCTCCCAACAAATGGATACAAATTTTAATTTGTAAAGGGGGTGACCCCAGACGTCAGCTGATTATGGAAGGTGATGCATCTCACCAGGGATGTGCTGCCCTAAATTGAAGACTCTGGTCAGATTCTGTTCCACAAACTGAACTGTCAGTGCCCACCCTGCCCAGACTCCTGCTGGTAAGCTCACCATAACCACGTATATATGAGCTCAATTTACAGCCCCTACAGCTACCTCATGCATGATGGGGCTATGTTTTTGGTGACCAGAATCCACTTGCCTACTTGGCAGAATTTTTTCTTGATATTGGGGAGCTCAGGATATTGCATTAGTAATCAGAATGCTGCTTAGCAAGGGAAGTATAGTTTTCTCCAGTTTTCAGTAAAATCAGCTTAACTAATTGAAGTAGCATTATTCCAACTTCAGCAGTAGAGGATTGATTGCAAGTAAAAAAAAATACAGAAATATTTAAAAAATCTAAATATTAAAGAATTCATGTTTTTAATCAACAAGCCTAAGGAAAAATTCAACAGTTTCCAATAGCAATTGTGCTAAATGCATTCGATTTTTTAAAAATAAATTTAATCATTTTAAATATCTTAATGTATACTTTCTATTCATCCACAAAGCTTCCCATCTCATTCCTAGTAAAACCTTAAGTCATTATAATGGACTATTAGGACCTACCTGATCTGCTCCCCACTCTACATCTCCCACCCATTAAATCTCTGAGCTTATTCCCTACTAGTAGGAAATAATCTCTTCCTTGTTTATTAGGCCAGGAAGCTGGTCTTGCTGTTTTACAAACATTGATGTATTTTATTAAAAATACATGTGCATGGCCGGTAAGATTCAGTTCACCTTTAGAGAAACCAAACAGAGGCTTCCATTCACTGAGGGGCACAAAATTCCCTTATTAAATGGCACTTGCACAAATATGCCCTAAGAGATGTGATTGGAGAAATTCTTTCCAAGTAGCAGTGATACATTTTGGAAAAATCAATCATTCTTTCTTAAATAGCTAAGAAACATAGTTCACATACTTTGCCTCCTTCACTATTGTCCACTTATACCACCATTACAAGATAAAGGTAAGTCTTTTCCTCCTTTAGGCAATACTGAAAGTTCTATTTGTGTAGGAAGAGCAAACAGGTGCAGATGGAATATTCATGCTGATGTTTCTTATCTATGGTGTCTTAGCAAGGTATATTGTTGAGCAGTGGTTAGGTATCTTACCACACAACATGGTTTGAGGGAGAAAGAGTGGGAAATCCATAATTATTCCACCACCTCCTAAAATCTGTGGTTCTCTATGTGCTTGGCGTAGTCTTCCTTTGTGAATACACCCACTCACAACTATAACTACTTTCTTACTTGGTTTATTTTAGTTAAACTTTTTTTTCAATTTTTATGTTAATGCTATTGTTTTAAGAAGATTTCTCTACTTTCACATGTTACACTATTACTTGATAATATGGCAGGTAAAGATAGCCAGAAGACTAAGATATTTTTATAACTTTTTTTGTAATTTTACTTCAGTATAGCTAATTGAGAAAAAGTACATTTAGTAACAAACAGTAATTTTTTCTTTAGAAAATAAGGCCTCAGTATTTAATACCCTAGAAGTAGTATACTTGAAAGTCTCAGCGCATTAAAAGGAGAAAAAGGTTGAAAAGTTTCTCCCATGGTTTTTTGCTGTATTGTTCCCCTCTGAAATCAGAGTGGGGGAATAACACCCTTCCCCCGGATACTACAGAAGAGTCAAAGAATATGGAAAGAATATTTTTGATAGGAGATACGTAAGTAGACTGTCATCTCTATCTCTAGCCCACCCCCATCCCATTTCTGACACCCCTTATAATTTAACCTTTTTCTACTGGCACTGTTTTCTCAGTCTACAAACATATTTATATGTTTACAGTCTTAGAAATAAAAAAGCACCCCTTTCAAATATTTGTCTTATTTCTACGTGTGTATCCTCCCAAAGTTAAGCCTCTTGAAAAAAGTCATCTTCATTCTCATTTTCCCCACATCTCATCATCTCCACTACTCCAGCAAAACTACTTTCAAATAACCCAAGTGTCAGTCCAGTGCACGTTTTAGTGTTTCTCTTACCTGACATAGCCATCTGGACAGTCTTTCTTAACTTGGGGTCCATGACATATTCTTTCCTTATTTTCTGCCTACTATTGTTCCACCTCCTCCAACCACATTAAATATCATTGATCCCAGGGATTTTTGTCTTCGATTTCCTGCACACGGTTTCTCAATGATCACAGTTACATTCACAATTTCAACTAATACATTTATTCTGATAATTTCCCAAATAGAATTTTAGTCTAGATTTCCTTGCTATATCCCAGACCAAAACTTTAGTTACTTACTGGATTTTTCTACCTGGGTGGCACCTACCTAATCTAAACTTCAACACATCCTTTACAGAATTCATGGACCTCTTTCCCCAACCAGCTTCTTTATTTCCTGTGTCTTTGTACTGACAACTTACAGAGTTCACATCCTACTGTGTACTCCTTTAAGAATTTTCTCTTGGTCATCAACTTCCCGTTTGCCATTTAGCTTAGGCCTTCTTTATTCTTCATCTGAATCTCAGTAATAGTCTTCTAACTTCTTCAAACTCTTTCCAACTCATTTTTCGCATTGTCTCCTATGATCTCTGTAAACCAGAAGACTGATCTTACCACTCTTCAGTTTAAAACCTTTCAAGTATTTTTAGTGCAAACAGGGAAAAGCTGAATTTGCTTAGCCAGAAAGATTAAGAGCCTATGAGTTCATCCTCATTTTCCAGCAGTATTTTGGGAAATGCCCCAATTTTTTTCATGTTCCCATGATCCAGAACCAGCTTTAGCTCCCTTCTACACACCCCACCTTTGCAAAGAATTCAGTTAATGCCAACTTCTCTAAAATTATTTATTTATATATGGAGGTCAAAGTCAGGCTTTGAATTAATGAGCTATGTGACCTTATACAACTAATTTCTTTTCTATGCCTCAGCTTATTCATCTGTAAAATAGGGACACTAATTTTACCAGCCACACGGAATGGTTGTAAGGAATAAACATATTAATAAAGGCAAAGTGAAACAGTATCTGACACAGAGAAAATGAGTAATCAATTTTGCTTTTATTATTATTGTTACTATTTAATGTTTTTGCTATTTTATTATCTTATATCTCCTTCAGTGATTTCTGTGAGGGTAATAAGTAATATATCACCCAGTTAAGAATTTTACAACTAGTAGGAGAGCTGTAGAAATGTATGTGAGATGAGTAAGCATCAAATATTTTTTCATGGTTTTACATACATTTAAAGAAATCTAATGCAGTTATTAATTTGCTAATCAGTACCACTAAGAATCACTGCTTCCATGTGTTTTGGGTGGTCTAAATAAAATGCTTCAGGACATTACCCCTTTACAAAGTGATAGGAATGGCTTCATTTCAACTGGACAGCACTGAGCATTAAACCCCGTGGCCAGCAGTATGGTTTGGTCTGAGCTCATTCGGTGGGCTTCAAATGCAAAGCGAGGAGGAGGCGCAGAGGGCCGGCAGGCCGGGGGGGTTGGGGGTGGGGTGGGGGAGGGCTGCAAAAGCTGTTACCGGGATTTTCCCATCTTCTCCCTTGCAAGAGGAAATAGCTCTGGATGTTTTTATTATTACTATTTTTTAATTTAAGCCAATGAATTGAATGATACCATATATTCTACTTAGGCTACTTGGAGATGTCATCTTTACCAGTGAGAGTTTAGAAATTCATAGGATACAATAAGCTTCTTATTCACAAGATTAAGAAACAAGTCCAAACAACCCATCTCTTTTGTACTTCTGTTCTCTTCAACTACAGGATGATCATAGCCTCACTTCCTTTTGGTGCTGTGATCTTTGCTGAGAAGAAAAAGAAGGGACAAGGAGTTTTAGAAGGCAGGGCAGTGCTTTCTGAAGTGCACCACTTGTAAAGGGTAGGAAAAGGTATGTGCTTCAAAAATACTAGACCAAACACAAAAGTGATGACTGACTGTGAGTTGAGTGGGATTAGGAGGAAACCCTGGGAGAGACCTAAGACTCTTAAACCAAAAGGTCACGAGTGCCAATCAGGAGCAAAAGGTTCATGGCACCATTTCCTCTCCTCTCAATGTGCCCTTGACCCTTTCTGACTGAAATTCAGTGTATGCCTTGGCCATGTTGGGGCAAAAAAGTATTGAGAAACTTAGTCCTGCCCTTCCTTTCCAGAATTTCTCATCTGTAAAGGAAAAGGTAAGTAAAAAGTGTGTAAGTCTATGTGCATGTGTGTGTGTGTGTGTGTAAATAAAACAACACAAGTGAATATGTGAATATGTTTACCATGAAATTGCACATTTTTAAAGTACAGATTTCTTTCTTGATAAAAGTATTTAAGCAAAATAAAGAGTATAAGGCTAAATGCAGCCTGATTTTTTTTTTCAGGATTAAGAATGCTTTTATTTTCTAAATGAAAAGTAATAGAAACCATTCAGCCACTCCTATTGCCTTTATTGGTTTCTCTGTTACATACTCAGCTCCTGGAAGGCATTGAAGGCGAAGGACAATGAGATTTTTTTAGAATGAAAAGTCTGGGAGGGAAACATAGTGAAGGGATTGCTGGGCAACCAGGTCACCAAACAAGGCTGTGTAGACTTAAAGGGAACAAGTAATTTCAGAGCGGGAAGTGGTAGCAGTGCCTATAGTGCCTACTTCATAGCTCTCCTAGGGCTATCCTGGCTAGGGACCATTATATTTGCTTTATTATTTTAACACAGAGTTTAAAGAACATAAAAGATCTTGTCTGATCAGTTCCCTTTCAGGCAATGTCTTTTTCATAGAGAACACAGTATGGGTGGAGTTGGCCACAGCTGCAGAGAGCTGGAACAATGTCCAAAGGGTGTGGTCAACTCAGGGCTGCTCCTTCTGTGCTTGTCTGATAAATCCAGTCTGGTCTCCATGTCTGCAATACCTTTTTCCTTGGCTAATTCCTGCTGATACTTCTATTCTATTACTATCTAGCTATATTATACACAAAAATGTCTGAGTTAACAATATTTAATAAGCATTCATTTTTATGGCAAAAATGTGACATACAGAGAGGAGAGTTATATTTTAGAGTACATTCAACAAATTTGATATGAAGAGGTAACAAAGCTAAGCACCAAAAGAAAATGTTTAGAGAAATAAGATTAATATGAAATCGTATCTTTGATGAAGACACAAAACATTAGTTTTTCTTATCTGAGTTTGAAACTGTGGCATTAAATGACATTCATCAGTAATTTTTTTTCCTCTTTAACAACAGAACATTTTGCCTCAGAGAGAGATTGCATGTGAGCACATGTACCAGAAGAAATTTAAAAATTGAGTAATAATTGAATAAAACTTAATTTACCCTCTTTTTATAGACTATGCCATGCCTGAACAAAGAGGTCACAAATTACTGACAAATTTTTCTATATTCACTTTTTTGTCAACCACAAAAACTAAGAAAGGTACAAGCTTCAACACTTTGCCCTGGAAGGACACGTCTGTTCTAACAAGTGTCAACAGTGTGAACACAGGAGGACATCTACACTCATTTAGGATAAAGCACCCAGGCCATTACAGAGAAAAGCACCTGGGACACTATAACCAGGCTCTGGCGTCTCCTACACAGATATGTGCTTGAAACATTGTATATAATAGATATGATGGAAGATTTGTTTTTCCCGATAAAATTGCACTTCCTTCCATACAGGAGTCACCAAGTGACACTTTGTACAGGCACACTCTTTCTGTATACCTTTGTCTGGGCATCCACGTGTGCCCCTTGGTTTACGAGGACTTCAGCCACATTCACTCTGTCTTCTTGAGCAGCCAGATGGAGCGGGGTCAGGCCACTCTGCAAAGATTCAAAGTACAGTCACCTTATAGACGGGAATGTAGTACACACAGGCATGTCTGAGACACACTTTATGAATTCTAGGACAGTAAGCCTAGAATTTGTATGTCAAAAAAGTACAGAATAAGTTTAGATACTAGCATTATAGAAACCCTGTTATCTGTAGACTTAATGAAAATTTTTAAATATACTTAAAAGTAGAGGGAACAGACTGAACCTGTGAATTGATCAAGGATTTCCTTTATTTGTTTCATCCAGCCCTCCTTTTTGTTCATTCTTTTCTTTGCAGAAGTATTTTAAAGCAAATCAGACATCATACTGTTTTCCCCCTACATACTTCAGTATTCATTTTTTAAAATAGACACTTTTTCTTACAACATCATGCAGAAGTCTTAATATATTACTAATGGCACTAACTTCAGCAGAAATTAGTAAAACAAAAATTGTTCATAAATTGAGTGACCTATGATGATAACATTTTCTCCATTAAGTATTTATACTTTCGGCTGACAAATACTTTCCGTATGTTGCTCCTGGGTGGGAAACATGGCCTGGGAAATGTGGTATGAATGCTGTATCAAGAGAATTTCCAGGTCATTTAGATGGTGTATGGGTTTAATGAGACTCAGTATTTAAAACTGACTATACCACAGAACATGCAGGCTATGTGGTTGTTCTAATGGCTAAGAAAAAATAATCACTAAGACTGTACTCTGGTTTAAGAAAATCCTCTGTAGTTGTATATTTTCACAGACAATATTTAAGAGAAAATAAATTTGTGTACGTGCTTCCAAATTCTTTTCTTTCACCTACTATGAGCACAGAAGCTAGCATCTTGAGTCCTGGGGGCTTCCTCCTTTAGCAGCTGTGCAGTGATAACATCAGCCTGCTTGTCGGAGGACAGGAGTGGGGCCAGAGCAGCATCAGGAAAGGGTATAGAGCTCTCTGGATGCTGAACATGATTGATTTAGGGGTTGCTATTCTGTCAAAAAAATTATAGGACTTGGGAAGATCATTTGCTCTTGACTCTTTAATAACATTTGCAGAATTTTGGAGGAAGCTCAAACTGCATCACGAGGAAATGCGGAAAGGAGGACTGATGCGCTCATTTGAAATCCAAGAAAAACAAGCCAGGGCCAAAACCAGTGCCACCCAAACACTGATGTAACTGTGGAGCAATGTTCCAAGTTTCGCTTCAGAGGAAACATATTTTCAGCCACAACGTTTTGTAAAAGTGTCATGAGCACCCATTCTAAGTTTGAGATTTTTCATAATTTCTGAAGATACTGTACAGAGTGGTTCCCGGCAGTTTGGGGAATGACTTCAGGCACGTGCCCACTCTCCCGGGTCCCCTGTCTGCACTCATGTACCCCCACGACTTCCACCTCCAGCATGGAGCTGGACCAGCTCTCCTGCTTCCCCCTCCTGGTCTCACAAAAGGCCTCACTGCTACACTTACATGCACACCCTCAAGTGCTTGTCTTTATTATGAACACCACCATCCTGCCTTTAAACTGTTTTCTTGTCTGTGTTCCTCAAACCACTGTGAGTTTGCTGAGGAAAATACTGTATCTTCAATCTTTATTTAACCAGGTGACTACTGTCTAGCATTTAATCCACCTACTAAGTCACTGAATCAGAGGAAAAAGCAAACATTTTTAGGTACAACAGGACAAATTAAATAAAGAAAACTTATTTTTATATTCACAATTTTGATGAAAAAGATCTTTAAAAAAAATGTGATGGTTGAAACAGCCCTGTTTGAATTCAAAAGTTATCTGTTAATCTCTTACAGCGTTTCACCCATTCAGGCATTTATTTCAAACAGAGATAACACCACCAGCTCAGAATAGCAACAGTTCTGTTTAATCTTCTGTTAGCTGTGCAAATGGTCTGCAAAATCTATGTGGGAAAGTAGGAACACCAAAATCAAAATCAAATCAAATCAAATACTAGCATTTCGGTAGTAACTTAGGTTCAAGGTCTCTTTTCCTTAAAGCTACAGGGAACTGCTGGTGCCTAGTGAGGAAAGAAGTGAAAATAAAAAATGTTTAGTTCAACATAAATTTTCATGAAAGTTAAATCTTTCTTTTAACATATATATGTGTATATGTTGTTATTTTTTTTAACAAGGAAATAAAGTCTAGTGTTAAATAGTAGGAGAAGAGCAGAGGGAGAGTGACTGGTGTCTGAAAGGAAGTTCATGAAGAACTTGAAGAAAACTGTCAGAGTTCCTTATGATTAATAATGCCCTGCTGATTTTCTGTTTTCACATTAGGGCTTATTTAATACTTTATACACAATATGACAACAGAGAATGGAAGCAAAGATCTATAAATGACTTCCTATTAGACTACTTCTAGGTTCTGTGAAGTTCTGAGAGTTTCATAAGTACAGTGTGCTAATGGGAAGCCAGCTGATCTGCTTTTTAAAACCTCCTTGGAAGTGTCTCTGCTGACATATCATTTATTCAGGAAGGTGGCTCGAAGTTTCCAAGTTTCCTTGGTTTACTGTGTCTGGTGGTCCTCAGAATTCCTTTGGAAATGGCCAGGCTACCAAAGCAAACAGTGAGAAATTCTTTCTAAAGTATTTTCAGCCAAAAAACGTTCTATGATTTCAAGGTAAATCCAAGGCTGGATATATATTGCAACCAGTTGACTGAAGGATTTTAAAAAAAGAGAGAAAGTCACATTGTACTTTGGTACATACTCAAAATGTTTATCTTTTTACTAGTTTTTAAGGTCTATTTGGCTCTGGGAGAATTAATGGGATACAATATTCTGGGCACATAAGAGCATATTTACTCTAATGGATTCCAGAATGTGCTTCAATTTTAGAAATCCAGGTCCTCTACCTCATTAAGACAAGTTGAATTTTGTAGCAAACTAAGTTTGCTCTCTCTATATATTAGTACATGAACTTTAGAAATTCAAAGCTCAAACAAATCCTAATTACAATGATTATTTGAAATTGCTTTGTGATTCCCATCGATGCCAAGACATGTATTCCTAAAAGCAGTAGAAAGAAAGATAGGAGAAAATCAAATTGGTACAACAGAAACAAATGAAAAATGTGTTTGCTTGGCAAAGATCATAAAGGATTTTCAAGATACTAAAACTGAAAATAGGTTTCCCTGCTCTTTTGAGCATGTCTTTCGGTCTACAGAATTTTGTAAATTACAACCTTAGGAATTCACACTGGTGCAGAGTAACCTTCTCCCAAAATAATTAAAAGTCCAAAATTAAGACAACTATTCCTTTGCTACTTAAGATAAGGTGCTGACAGAGAAGGCACATAGTGGATCTGTGGCATCTTGCTGCACTGAAGGACAGTGACTGCATTGGGGTATGGGTGAGGACTTGATAATATGGGCAAATGTAGTAACCACATTGTTTTTTCATGTGAAACCTTCATAAGAGTGTATATCAATCATACCCTAATAAAAAAAAATAAGGTACTGAATGCTACCTCAGTTAGCCTTCATGACATCTCTCTGAAGTAAATGTTGTCTTCATTTACTAGAGGATGAAACTATACCTCAGAGAGGTCACATAACTTGTCCAATCAAGTCACATATCAAATAAAAGTCAGATTAAGGATTTACACCCAGGAGATCCAGAGCCTCTGTGATTCCAAAACGCAGGCCACATAAACTAAAAATATTTAAAGTACTTGTCTTTTGCTACCATAAAACTATTGCTGTCTTGAATCTCTACTCCAATATCTGAGCTATGGCGGAGAAATGCCGTGGCTGTACCACCCTTACCCAATAGAGGAGAAGCTAAATCCTGGGGAGTGTGGATTATTAACCATTTGGGAGTGCTAGCAGGCTTTGTGCTGTCTGCAGTGATGATTCACAAACATCCGCCCTGTGTTTTGGAGAGATCTGACTCAGACTCAGACTCAGGTATTAATATGCAGCTCAGCAGACCCAAATTTTCTGCTATAAGTGATGAGAGGCAGTTAACTATATTAACATGTATGTCTCTGCTCAGCTATGGGTTGGACTTTCACTTTGCTTCACAAAACTCTTCACTAAAATAATGGAGATGTCAGATATGAGATCAAGGGAATCTGTAAAATTTTGGGAACAGAGACTTTACAAGTTCCTTGGAAGTGTTAACTTACATACAAAGACTAGCAAATCAATCTATCAAATAAAATAGCCAGTCGAAATTACTGTTATTAAAATGAACTCTCTGAGGGCAGAATCATTTCTCTTTGAAAAGTAGGACTTAAAACTGGGACAGGCAAGGAGAAGTTACCCCAAAAAAGTTTGTGGAATGAATGAATAGGCTAGAATAAACAACTTCTTATTTGCTATGTTTTGATGAAGTAACAATCTTGTTCTTTGAATTGAAACAAAACTTCATGTTACTAGAAAAACTTGGTGGACTTCATTTTTATGGCTATATGTTACTCAGTTGTATGATTTTGCAATTATGAACTTTCCATTCTCTTACTGATTCAACTGATTTTTTCCCCAGTTTTTGCTATAATAAATTCTGATAAACATCTTTATGAAATATTACACTTTGCACATTCTATTTGATCTGAATTTTTCATGACTTCTTAGTAGCCTTTCTGAGAGCTGAGGTTTTGTTGTGTTGTATGCTTTACACAGAGAAAAAAATTACCTTATTGCTCAGGTTCACATTAGCATTTCTGCTGAGAAGCAGTGACACCATGTCCACATGACCTTCCTGAGCTGCAAGATGGACAGAAGCAATTCCTTGCCGGGTAACTGCATTTGCATCAGCCCCATATTCCAGCAGAGTTGTTGCTATGTCCATCTGGTTCTTTTTGGCAGCGATGTGCAGTGGTGTATAACCATTCTGTCAACACAAATCACTTGTCACATGTCCAGCAACAAGATAAAAATGTGTGCAGTGCATTTTCAAAAGGTATGCTTCCCTTTCTAGTGATTTTCTTTGAGGTTTAAAAAATCATGATCAAGTAAGCCAACATTGATAAATCAAGCCGTGTCATTAATGCAGTACCCTCATACCTCCCACATTCCTAAACAGGGAAAACACGCTACACACAGGTCAGTGCAAGAGAGTCGGAGGACCACTAGTTTTATAAAAGGGATGCAGAGGTCCCTCTTACAGGTAGTTATGTTAGTAGGTGCTCAATAATACTTGCTTTATTTAAATGTGGAATGACAGAAAACCCAACTAGGAAACAACACCCAAAATGGTATGGCTGGGGCATGTTCAGAGCCATTATTCCACCTTTAAAACCCCTTTAATGGCCATCTGTTGCTTATTAGTAGAACACTTTAACTCTCATGGTAGTCAAGATGCTTTAATCTACTCCCATTTGCCCCTCTGACTGCCTCTTTCAGGAAACTCTAGTTTTTATGTTACCCTTCAGCAGCACAGGTCCCCCAAACAACAGACAGCTCATGATTTTGCCTTGCCTCACCCTACCAGGGATGCTTTTCTCCAACATGCTCTCAGGGCCAGCATTTTTCAGTGGAAGATGTAGCTCAAGGGTCAAACCCTCTTGAGATGTTTAACCTACCCTCTTCCTTCCTACACCTACCCCAGCTTGACTGACTCCAACATCTTGGAGATATTTATACATCTGTCTCCTCCTACTAAACTATAAATTTGCTAAGGGCAGGTACTGTGTCTTTTTATCCCTAGTGCCTCCTAACAACCAATGAGCCCTCAGGTGTGAATCAAGCTTCCTAGAACTTTTGGCATGCTGTGGGATGTTCCTATCTGTGGCCGTTGGTTGGTGCTGAGGCAGAGGGAGCCGAACTTTCAGTGGCAAGTTGTTAATGAGCTGTGCCCAGGAGCCTTCAGAGTCCTGTGAGAAAAAAGATCCCCTGTTTTAGGAGACTAGGTTCTGACTCACAGTCACTTAAGAGAAAAGAATTGTTTTTTTTTTAATAGACAAGAAGATTTAGAGAAAGAAAACAGAATCCAAGAATTACACTTAGGAATATGATACAGATCGAGACAACAGAGCAGTCATAACCTTTCCAAGCCATATGGGTGGGTCGAAACACCTGTTGCACCGCTCACTAGCCAGCCTACTGCAACTACCCTTATATTGAATTCACTGAAATGTCCTAGTGTGATAGCATTTCTCACTTGACAGTTGCTTTAATCAATTGTAGAGAATTTAGGATGTTGGATATAAACCCATGAAATGGGAAATGCCACTTCCAGACTCTTATGAAACCAGCCTCTGCCAAACAGGATGCACCAGCTTAGAATATTTTATATCCCTATTTTTAGTTTTGACCTATTACCATCTGGAAACCCCAGCTGACCCGGGAAGCATTTGGCCCTCTACTCAGACACACCCTGAAGAGACTGCCTTCCGAGCCAAGTGCAGAGCTTTGGACTGAGCCCAGCTCTACTGTCAGTGACGGGAGGGGGGTGAGCTATTTCACTAACATCCCCACCTCTGTGTAAAAGAAAATTCAGAAAGTGGTGCAAAAATAGGAAATCTGATTAGGCGGTATGTCTAACATAGCTGATTAGAGTGGCAGAGGCAAGCTAAAGTCAGAGTTCAGCTTCTTGTCATCCACCTTACCCTTTTCTGCTTTTGCTACTTAACATAACTTTTGAGTTAGTCACTTCTTAACACCTAAAGGCAGGTCAGTATCCTCTGATGTGTGAGAATCCTCTAATTTCCAATTCCACCAAAAATTCTGAGGTTCTAAAATACGTGAATGAAGAAAAGCTCTGGCCTCCTGGTAACGCATGTCAACTCCAGACATATTACTCGTGATTACTGAGGGGTGTATACTGAGCTCCTTACCTGAGACACAAAGGGAAGTCCAAAGCAAAGGAAAAAATTTATGGCATTAATTTAGAATGGAAAATTAATCTTAGAAAGACTTAAGAAATATTCCAAATAATAAACAATAGTTCAAGCAATACATAGGACCTATAATGGAATTTCCTAAGTTACCTACCTTCTTTCTAATGTCTGGAAAGTAAAATGATTCTTTTTGTCACACTAAAGGAGACAGATTAATTCATCAGAAGAGAAATAAATAGTGAAGTGAGAAATTTGACTGTAGTACAATCTTAATATTTCTGCCTCTTGATATAAAGGACAAAGTGCCTGCCATATGTGCTTTTGTATTTCAATATGAAAAAGAGCAAATGTAATCTTAAATTATCAGAAGTAATCATACTTACATTATACCTTAATATCTTTTCCAAAAACTTTCACAGTCTCTCGTACTTGATATCAATAGTTACACTGCACATTTTATGGAGGAGAAATGTGACAAATGATAAATTAAGGCTCACAATCCTTTCCATAATCAATGCCCAGGTTATGCCTGAACTCAAGCCAATCCTCTTTCCAGCAGTGTCCTGCCTCAGTACATAGATCTGGCTAAAATGGATTAGAGAAGCCCATGTATTTTTCAGTACTTTCTCCCCTCTCCCATTACCTAAAATCACATCATGTTTCTAGGACATGTATGAGTAAGAAAATATGCTTGCAATTCTACAAAAGAAGAGAAAAGGAAAGACAAAAACATCACGTACTCTAAGAACAATATGTGAACTGAGGGTTAACACTGAAGTCACTGCTGTCCATCCATATGCTAATCATGCCCTATTGTCCCTCATTTCTGACCACTGCCAGAATTAAAAAATGCTGGAGCTTCCCTGAAGTAAAGGAGACTTTACTCTGCCCACCCTATATGCATTTTTCTCCTTTCTTAATAAAAAAGAAGCCACTGGCACGGTGTCCAGGTGAAAGCTACACTCCCTACCTTCCTTTGCAGAAAGAAGTGGCCAATGAGCTGTAAGGAGAAATAGCCGGCTGGACTTTCTGGGAATATACTAATATCTGACTTTCTTTCCCGTGTATTGCTTGAAAAAGTGGACCTGGCAGCCAGAGCAAAAACAATCTCTGGATGGAAAGTCCAAAAAAAAAATCACAAGGATCTCTCTTGAACACTCTGGAAACAGTGAACCAACAACAACAACTGTTTACCTCCACACTGTTTATGACATGAGAAAAACAGCCTCATCAGTTGAAACCACTGTAGGTAGGTCATTTTTCTAGAAGATGAAGCCAATCCTTAATGGACAGAACTGGCTTTGCTCAGTATCAGAGTCTAGAAAAAACTGACCAGGATCACTGCCTCAAAAAGTGCGGCTGGTTGCACATGTGGCAGAGACGGCACTACAGGGGCTCTTCATGGAGGTCTGCGCTACGGGGAATGAAAAGTAATGTTCCATTAGAAAGCCTGTAGTCAATTGACTATAAACGATATGCCTAAGGCTAAAAGACTGCTGTAAGTCTTTTCAATTCTTTGTCAAAAATGTTTTGCTGATATGGAACCATGAAGCCTTGTTTGATAAATATAAAGCTGGAAATGAACTGCAATGTACCAACTATTAACCTGTTTTAAAGAGTTATTTGTGGATAGAAAGGTGAATTGGACTAATTTTACTTCACTTATTATTTTATAACTCTTGTCAATTCAAAGTGCTTGACACTAGTTGTGTCAAAATTATTATTCTCAGGTCAGGAAGGAACAGTTCACTAATTAATTATTTACCAGTTGCCTAGCAAAAACCTGGGGTCATTGATAATGTAAGTGGACCAGGCTCAAAAGGATGATGAAATGGACAATCATTACATTTCATTATAAATTTTCTTCTCATTTTTAAAATTATAAAAAATGCATTATATAAAACTTGTCATTGTAACCATTTTTATGAGTGTAGTCAATTGTGTAACGTACATTCACACTGTTCTCCAACAGTTAACACCATCCATCTCCAAACTGATACTCTATCTATTAAACTCTAACTTCCCATTCCTTCCCCCGCTCAGGCCCTAGCAACCAGCTTTCTATTTCCTATCTCTATATAAGTGAAATCATAACAACTTTTGTCCTTTTGTGTGACTGGCTTGTTTCACTTAGTGTAGTGTCTTTGAGGTTCATCTATGTTGTAGCATGTGTCAGAATGTCCTTCTTTCTTAAGGCTGAGTAATATTCCATTGTGTGTATGGACCACACTTAATCTGTTCAATCCCCAGTGGACACTGGGGTTGCTTCTACCTTTTGGCTATCATGAGTAATGCTATTCTTCCTTTTAAGATAAAGTTTTATTGAAAGTCAAGGCATTGCTTTATGATAGAAAGAATGTATGTCAGAGTCAGAAATTATGGGGGGAAAGTCACAATTAGATGACAAGCAAATCTTGGGGTTTGATTTGCAATTGTAGATTTCATTGGGTACAATTCTGGAGAGGATAGAAAAGGAAATGATTGAGAAATATAGGAAAAGAGGTTCTGAGGAGAAATTCCTGCCAAAGATAATACACTTTCTAAATGGAGGAAGTACCTTAAAACGTTACCTCTTAAAATACCCTAAGTCATCTAGAACAGCCCTAGTTTATTGATCTGTGTGTACAAGAAATTTGATTTAAACACTAAGTTTAAAAGAGTACTGTAGCTGCTCCAAAATGGAAGGGTAAAACAAAGAGGTAAAAAGCCTTAGGAATGCCAGCAGTTCTTTCAGTCAATAGTATTTAGTGAAAGAATTAGACAGCATTTAAGGTGTGGTTATATTTTTCCAGTGTTCTCTCATCATAGCCACCTGTTCAACAGTAGAGATCTTATTAAACCAACAGCACTCTATTAACCTAGTTTTAAAAAACTCTTCTTTATGATTTGCCTCTCAAATCAGAATACCAGAGTATTAACTACAGACATACACTCCATGCATGTCTTTTCTGAGAAATCTAGGTTGTCTACTGGTCAAAAATGCCTGAACAATAAGAATAGAGATTCTCCTTAGCAACGATAAAAACACATAAGCAAAACCTCCCAACCTATTTTATGAAGCACCAATAAACAACTCAAAGGCAATATTTTATGGCCAGGAAAATGTAACCCATATTTTATAACTGACAAATCAGAACTTCCTTACTCTCCCTCTTCCTTACTCCCCCAGGCTGTGCTTATGTTTTTAACCTGTCTAAAGAGTACTTCAATTTTTTACCTCCCCAGGCTCTAGGATGTTTTGGGTTTTCAAGGAAACTCAATTGACAAATAAATATTTATTGAGCATCTACCACATTATTTGACTTAATAGCTGAAGGCACAGATTTCCCAAGGAGCTTATACTTCTCTGATTTTTAGGAGATGCCTAAAAAGGGGGGGTGCTGCAGATGAAAACAAAAGTAACTGTACATATGGAGACTGATGGACACTTCCTGCTACTCTCCTCAAGTTGTTGAATTACAGGTACCTTTGCAGCCGCATGAGGTGAGGCTCCTTGGTCCAAAAGCAGAAGAGCCACTTTCTGATTATCGTAATGTGCAGCTACATGCAGTGGAGTTAGCCCGCTCTGGAAACACGTGCAGAAACAACAAAAAAGTGTCTTAACATGAGAGGCCTAGATTTAGGAGATGGGATTAGATTGGATACAACACAGAGCATAAATTAAATTCGAGTTTGTTCAATACTTGGACCCCAGCATTCACCTCCTTTTTCCAAAGTGATCTTTATCCTACAAGACTTAACTATGTGTTAGTTACCATTTTGGTGGCCGCTGGTGCATTAGCAAGTGCTTGTTTTGTTACCATGGAAGTGGCCTCTTACAGGGTGGCCCATGACCTCATACCTTCCCAGCAGCATCTGGAGATGCACTTTTCTGTAGCAGGAGATTGGCTACTTCAAGCTTCCCATATTTTGCTGCCACGTGAAGGGGAGTAAATCCTTTCTGAAAAAAGAAACACAAAAGTAATGAATGGTAGAAATGACACAAAGGCATTGCTTTTTTGGAACTGATAAATTATTCTAATGATGAAGAACAGTTAAGCCTGTATTTACAGACCAAGATTGGTAGATAATAGAATCCCCTTATCAATAACGATGAGCAGAATATTTAATCTTTCTCATCCTACTGACTGAGCCACACACATCACTAATTCTGGGACTAATCAGGTATCTGACCAAGATAAAGTTAGAGAGCTGGATATAGGGCTTATTCTAGGGCCATTTTGGGATTTTACACAGTGGGAAGAATTGGTTACACAGTGTGGCAGAGACGGCACTACAGGGGCTCTTCATGGAGGTCTGCGCTACGGGGAATGAAAAGTAATGTTCCATTAGAAAGCCTGTAGTCAATTGACTATAAACGATATGCCTAAGGCTAAAAGACTGCTGTAAGTCTTTTCAATTCTTTGTCAAAAATGTTTTGCTGATATGGAACCATGAAGCCTTGTTTGATAAATATAAAGCTGGAAATGAACTGCAATGTACCAACTATTAACCTGTTTTAAAGAGTTATTTGTGGATAGAAAGGTGAATTGGACTCATTTTACTTCACTTATTATTTTATAACTCTTGTCAATTCAAAGTGCTTGACACTAGTTGTGTCAAAATTATTATTCTCAGGTCAGGAAGGAACAGTTCACTAATTAATTATTTACCAGTTGCCTAGCAAAAACCTGGGGTCATTGATAATGTAAGTGGACCAGGCTCAAAAGGATGATGAAATGGACAATCATTACATTTCATTATAAATTTTCTTCTCATTTTTAAAATTATAAAAAATGCATTATATAAAACTTGTCATTGTAACCATTTTTATGAGTGTAGTCAATTGTGTAACGTACATTCACACTGTTCTCCAACAGTTAACACCATCCATCTCCAAACTGATACTCTATCTATTAAACTCTAACTTCCCATTCCTTCCCCTGCTCAGGCCCTAGCAACCAGCTTTCTATTTCCTATCTCTATATAAGTGAAATCATAACAACTTTTGTCCTTTTGTGTGACTGGCTTGTTTCACTTAGTGTAGTGTCTTTGAGGTTCATCTATGTTGTAGCATGTGTCAGAATGTCCTTCTTTCTTAAGGCTGAGTAATATTCCATTGTGTGTATGGACCACACTTAATCTGTTCAATCCCCAGTGGACACTGGGGTTGCTTCTACCTTTTGGCTATCATGAGTAATGCTATTCTTCCTTTTAAGATAAAGTTTTATTGAAAGTCAAGGCATTGCTTTATGATAGAAAGAATGTATGTCAGAGTCAGAAATTATGGGGGGAAAGTCACAATTAGATGACAAGCAAATCTTGGGGTTTGATTTGCAATTGTAGATTTCATTGGGTACAATTCTGGAGAGGATAGAAAAGGAAATGATTGAGAAATATAGGAAAAGAGGTTCTGAGGAGAAATTCCTGCCAAAGATAATATACTTTCTAAATGGAGGAAGTACCTTAAAACGTTACCTCTTAAAATACCCTAAGTCATCTAGAACAGCCCTAGTTTATTGATCTGTGTGTACAAGAAATTTGATTTAAACACTAAGTTTAAAAGAGTACTGTAGCTGCTCCAAAATGGAAGGGTAAAACAAAGAGGTAAAAAGCCTTAGGAATGCCAGCAGTTCTTTCAGTCAATAGTATTTAGTGAAAGAATTAGACAGCATTTAAGGTGTGGTTATATTTTTCCAGTGTTCTCTCATCATAGCCACCTGTTCAACAGTAGAGATCTTATTAAACCAACAGCACTCTATTAACCTAGTTTTAAAAAACTCTTCTTTATGATTTGCCTCTCAAATCAGAATACCAGAGTATTAACTACAGACATACACTCCATGCATGTCTTTTCTGAGAAATCTAGGTTGTCTACTGGTCAAAAATGCCTGAACAATAAGAATAGAGATTCTCCTTAGCAACGATAAAAACACATAAGCAAAACCTCCCAACCTATTTTATGAAGCACCAATAAACAACTCAAAGGCAATATTTTATGGCCAGGAAAATGTAACCCATATTTTATAACTGACAAATCAGAACTTCCTTACTCTCCCTCTTCCTTACTCCCCCAGGCTGTGCTTATGTTTTTAACCTGTCTAAAGAGTACTTCAATTTTTTACCTCCCCAGGCTCTAGGATGTTTTGGGTTTTCAAGGAAACTCAATTGACAAATAAATATTTATTGAGCATCTACCACATTATTTGACTTAGTAGCTGAAGGCACAGATTTCCCAAGGAGCTTATACTTCTCTGATTTTTAGGAGATGCCTAAAAAGGGGGGGTGCTGCAGATGAAAACAAAAGTAACTGTACATATGGAGACTGATGGACACTTCCTGCTACTCTCCTCAAGTTGTTGAATTACAGGTACCTTTGCAGCCGCATGAGGTGAGGCTCCTTGGTCCAAAAGCAGAAGAGCCACTTTCTGATTATCGTAATGTGCAGCTACATGCAGTGGAGTTAGCCCGCTCTGGAAACACGTGCAGAAACAACAAAAAAGTGTCTTAACATGAGAGGCCTAGATTTAGGAGATGGGATTAGATTGGATACAACACAGAGCATAAATTAAATTCGAGTTTGTTCAATACTTGGACCCCAGCATTCACCTCCTTTTTCCAAAGTGATCTTTATCCTACAAGACTGAACTATGTGTTAGTTACCATTTTGGTGGCCGCTGGTGCATTAGCAAGTGCTTGTTTTGTTACCATGGAAGTGGCCTCTTACAGGGTGGCCCATGACCTCATACCTTCCCAGCAGCATCTGGAGATGCACTTTTCTGTAGCAGGAGATTGGCTACTTCAAGCTTCCCATATTTTGCTGCCACGTGAAGGGGAGTAAATCCTTTCTGAAAAAAGAAACACAAAAGTAATGAATGGTAGAAATGACACAAAGGCATTGCTTTTTTGGAACTGATAAATTATTCTAATGATGAAGAACAGTTAAGCCTGTATTTACAGACCAAGATTGGTAGATAATAGAATCCCCTTATCAATAACGATGAGCAGAATATTTAATCTTTCTCATCCTGCTGACTGAGCCACACACATCACTAATTCTGGGACTAATCAGGTATCTGACCAAGATAAAGTTAGAGAGCTGGATATAGGGCTTATTCTAGGGCCATTTTGGGATTTTACACAGTGGGAAGAATTGGTTACACAGTCGCAGATGCAATTTGGATTTGGAGGGCTTGGGAAAATTCAGGGCCAATCTGGCCCTTTCATTATCTCCCATCACCAGACTGGTGCCTTTCTATTCCCCTTTCCCTATTGCTGCATGTTCACACATACCTTCATATATGCTCCATATATATATTCTAGTCCTGGAAAGTCCATTAGCTTTCCAGGCACACCACAACACACCACTTGCTAGGTTTACATGGTATCACAGGAAAATGAACTCTGATTCAGATTCTCGCAGGTGAACTGAATAATAACTCATGTCCAATAATAATAACTGGTCCAATAAATATGCAGGAGTTGGATATTCAGAGTTAAGTAGCTGCTTCCCCTTGCTACGTAGTCCTGCAAGGATCTGGGTATCAGCCAATCAACATGCACTCTTAGGGGAGGGTCCCAAGCATGAGTCAGCAAGAGTCAGGCACTGGCTGGTCATCAACATATTTGACCTCATGAGACTATAGCCAGCTAGAGCCAGTGGGCAGCTGGCATGATGGAGGGACTAGGACACTCAAAATCTCATTTCCACTACCCGTTTCACATATTAAATGAGATCCAGGAACTTGCATCTTAACTATATGGAAGAGCCTAAAGAAACCCGGGGGGTTGGGAGGGAGTTTGAGTTAGTCACCATTTACTCACATAGTTTTCTAAGTATTTGTCATTACTGTAACTATTTTGAGCATTGATTATACATCAATGCTTCTATTCTGCATCCAAAAAAAGAGAGATACAACACCACTTTCTAGCTTTCCAGGGCACACCACAGCCCATCTTTCTATCACACTTGCTAGGTTTACATGGTATCACAGGAAAATGAACTCTGAATGTTGCATTCTGCACCTACAGAGCAACTGTGTGGTAGGTTATTACTCTAAGGCATCAGAATTAAGATTAAAAAAAATCAAACCATTAATCAGGCAAGACAATAGCAACAAAAGAACAACAAGCAAAAATAACCCAAGAAACATTTAACTCCTGATTTGCAAGTATTATAAAAGCATTGACCAACTGAGCTCTGACAATGTGGTTGGTATACTTGGCCTCAGCAAGAGAAATCTATGGTTCTGTTTTTAAACCACCATTTAATTCTATCAAATAACTTTTAAGAAACATCTGGCTCTAGATATCAATAAGGTTTCCTTAGAAGATAATGTACAGAGAAACTGAAGATAAACACACATGTGCGCACGTACACACCAAACTACCCTATTGCCCCAGGGCTCTGCTGGCCATGCTGATGACCACCCCGGAGTCCCACGTACAGATGCTGTTATACAACTTCTGTGCCTATCAGGATGTATTTCCAGGGGACACAGAAGGATTCTGAGACTCGCCTTCATACCTTTGTTGTTATTGACAGAGATGCACCGTGATCCAAAAGGAATGTGGCTACGTCCTCATGGCCCTCTCGGGCCGACAGGTGGAGTGGGGTGTACCCAGAAGTTGTGGCTGCATTGGGAGACGCTCCTTGCTGCAACAGCTGTTGTACTATATCTGCCTTTCCCAATCTGGCAGAAATGTGCAGTGGGGTCTGGTCATCCTAAACGATAAGGTAGAAGTGCAAGGCTGATGAGCTGAGAAAACAGTGGTATAGTCAGCACACTTCGCTTAGTATCAAAGGCTGCTTTCAACTCTGATTGAATGCTACAAAGAATCTCATTTATCTCTTTCTTTAAGGTCCAGGAAAGTAGAGACAGTGAATCCAAGTGCCTTAAATACCTTTAGAGTAACCTCTTAGTATGAAAAGTGAAAGGCAGGTCTACCTATATTGGAAGTATTATAAAAGCATTGACCAACTGAGATATGATACTGCCTGCCATAATCCACTAATTTTTAACCTCTAATGACTCCTTTTTTGGGAGATGTATCCTGATAAAAGTCAAATAACTTGGAGGGCTACTACACCTCCCCAGTCATTATGCTCTCATGTGACAAGTAGAGGCAGAGGCCAGCAGCACAGGGTTGTACAGGTATCCCTGCACAAAGGCTCCCTACCAAGAGGGCTGATGGGGCCGGAAGCCAGCCTAGCCTCTGCTTGTCAGGTTACACATCCTGGCATGCATGGTCTGCATCTGCCTGGAGTGGACGGCTCTTCCTTGCAGCTCACTCAAAGGCATGAGCCATTCACTAAGGCCTGTACCCTTAGGGTCTTATCCCCCAGTGGGAGGGGCATCTTTTCCTAAGTTACTCAAAGAAGCCCTATGGTGGGCCTCCGAAAAGAAATCCTCTACTGGAATGTGATAAAGTTCAGGCAAGTACTTCACATTGGGAAGGTAGAGAGAGAGGCTAGAGCACAGGACACTGCTTTGGAAAGCTAAGTGGGCTGATCGTCAAGGTCAAAGCAAGGGGGTCTATACAACTGGTAGGAAGCAGAAGAGAAATTAGGGGAGATGCCACAAGGAAAAATGCATATTCTGAAAACAGAAGAAGTTGCCAAAGAAAAATGTCATAAAACTTTACTATTGCCACCACCACCACCACACATTTAGTGAGCACCTACATGGCCCAGGCTCTAAGTACTCCACCTACATTAATTCATCATTCATCACAACAATCCTATGAATTGCAAGCACCACTATTCCTATTTTCTATATGAGGAAACTAGAAAAGGAAGTATGGCAGAGATATTAGTTAACTGGCCAGTGTTATACAGCCAGTAAATGGTGGAGGAGGGTACAAACCCAGGCAGTCTGGCTGAGAAAGGGAGACTTAACCATGACACATACTCCCCCTTAGTGAATCCTATCCTCAACTTCAGCTTGTGAGTGAAACACAAGGCTTGATATGTAACTAACACCACTCATAATGTCAGGTTTCTTATAGTCTGTGTAGAATATAGTCTCTCTTAACCATAATTCAGGGGCCAAATCCAGCTGTCACCTGTGTTTATAAATAAAGTTTTATTAAAACACAGACATGCCCATTTGCTTATGGATTGTCTGGTGCTGCTTTTACTCTAGAATGGCAGAGTTGAGAAACTGTGACAGAGATGGTGCATCAGGCAAAGCCTGAAATCAGGCCCCTTACAGAAATGGTTTCCTGGCTTCTGTTTCTAGATCCTCCCTGAAATGCACCAATTGGTACTAGGGTACACTGGGCACCTGAGGCTTGTCGTCTGCTGTGCAGAATGGCACAACCTCTGTACCCATCTGTGAATTTTATGTTCTCAAAGCTCTAGTTGTGCTTGTTCACACACTAGTATGCTTATACTAGCTACTTCACACTTGTACTGTATTTGCATTAATTATAATATAATGACACAGTGTGCTAACAGGTAAAATATGAATATGAAAGGAAAGGCTTTACTTTCCCAAAGTTGAACGCTTTGGAGAGCCCTGAATTTGATAAAAAATCAATTATGGTCAAATTAGATATGGTGAGGCAGCTAAACACATTGGGGAAATTTATAAAGCCTAGAAATACTCTATTGTTGAACCGCTTCACAAATGTCCCTTTTCTATTTAACATGAAACTAGAAAATTGCAGATCATGTAAACAGATGGCAAATCAATGTACATTTATATACTATAGGTTAAAATTAAATGACTGAGGCATTTATGTATTTATTTATGGTTCCTGACCTGAACTCCCATTTTGATAACGAGACCAGTTATCCACCCTGATAGTGACAGGTAAGCACGTTTCTTCTGGAGGCTGAACATCCAGCAGAGAACGAAGCATTCAAACTCAACCTTGACATTCTACTTCCACATAAAGGCAGATCCCTGAAACAACTTCGGTCCATGTCTCAGGGTTTATAGTTTCACAACTTTTAGAGAAAAAGTAAAAACTTCCTTTTCCCTTTTGTGGCTGTGACAGGTGACATGTAAGTCAAACAAAGGGGCTCAATTATGCTTCTAAATCGTGCTTGTTTTAGAAGCTTTGGGCATAAGCCCTTCTCCATAAAGTGTGAACAACACTGGACCAAGTCTAGTTTCTGTTCCTAATCTGTTAGGGACTAGCAATGTGCCAAGGACACAGAGTTCTTTCTGGCACAAAGGTTTTGTTCTTCTTAATTTTGTTAAACAATTGAATGGACAAATGTGTGGGAAAGGGGTGTTTTATATCACTTGGGTAGAGACTTCTGTGATTGGAGATTGTTCAAATCACAACCCCAAAGAGGGTTTCTTAAAGAGAGCATGCATGTGTTGGAAGTTTTTTTTTTTTAATCAAGGGATTTTCCCTCAGTAGCAAACACTGACATCTACTACACATACCTTAGCTTTAGCTTCTACCTGAGCTCCGTCTTGCACCAGATACCGCACGACTTCAGCTTGGCCGGACCGGGCTGCCATGTGTAGCGCGGTTTCTCCTCTCTGGGGAACATGAGCCAAAGGTGATTAAGTGCAGCTCCGAGAAGAGTGGTGTATTCTATTTGCATAAAGCTTATGATGTAGGTTTTTTTAAAAATGAAAAGTAGTTCTAAGCACTTCCTTATTGAAAACTAGTAAAGATAGAAAATTAAATACACAAGAACTTCACAGAATCCTGGTTTGTGATGGAAGAACTGGTTGTAGCCCTAGGGAGTTAGTTACCAGCAGTGTCAGCCATGTTCCTTACTAATCTACAGTGTGGCCTCCTCAGGGGCTGAAAGGCTAGTGCTCACAGGGCCCAGGCAGGAAGGTAAAGGAGAGAGTAGGGCAGGTGGGACATGCTGGACAAGACACCCTGCCCGTGAGAGGCAGCTGCTTGCTGGCCTCTGCGTACTGCTGTGGTGGCTCTGCTGGGTGCTAGCCACATCACGCCACACAGTCCTATTTGTCAAAAGCGGGGCAGTCTGGATATTTGTGTACACTTTTTAAAGGCTGACCACAAAATCAGAAATGAAAACAAAACAAAAACTCTTGCAAGGGCAACATAGACACACCCGAGAGCCAGGCTTGGCTTAACAGCTTTGGTCTGCATTCCCTGCTTTATCCCAAGAGCTCAGTACATCCCAGTCTTTGGGCTTTATCCCAGGGGGTCATTTTCTTTGCCACTGGACTCCCCAATCACCCCCTCCCCCACCCAGTTTACCAAGGAGAATTTTATTCAGATTATTCATTCATTTAATAAAAATGAAAGCAATATAGAAGACATAGATAAAAACATAAAAAGTCATAAAACCCAATACATTCTCTCACACAAGTGATACGCAGCTAAACACTGATTTTATAAACTGAACTTTGTTTTATGGGTCACCCACCTCCACGAAAGGATGGACAAAGACACATTCCACATGAACTTTATACTGTTTCCTGGAAAGATGTTGAGGATGTAGTTTATGGTATTATCCTTCTGAGAGAAAACATTCTCTTTCTGGTGTTAGTATCAGGGAACAGTGTATTTCAGTGGTGAGGCAGGTCTGTGTCTGTCTCATGGATATGCTGACTTGGACAGCCAGAAGTCACAGGGCCTTCTGGAGGCCCAGCTCTGGGTGAGCGTGCAGGACCTTATGGCTTGCATTTTCTATGCCAGAATGTTGCTTATTTTATTTTTAATTCTTTGGTGCTCACAAGCACAGCTAGTGTTTCTATCCTTGTGGCCTGATGTCTTATTATTACAATGATGTCAAACTCAGAACCTTGTAAAGGATGTCGAATGCCCCATGCAGATCTGGGGTGATAAGTTACTCCTCTGATATTTACTCTGAAGCTAGTCTCATGGTTCTGCAGAGCAATGCTTAGTGTGGGAAAACAGTATCATCCAATAATCTGTGAACTGGGTTCCATGGGTTTGCTATAACATGGTCAAGCACACTAAAAGAAATTACTTTGAATTTACTTGAGATTACAGTAATGATACAGTTTGAATCACCTCCTCAACATGCAGCACTTTTTAAATCTTCCATTGCAAAAAATTTCTTCCCTCCACAGCAACTATTTTTAAAGAATAATGTACCTATAAAGTTAATGGACACAGTCCATATGTCCTAACAATTTATGGTTAATTAGTGATTGGATGGATCTGACCTTTGAAATAGAGGAAATCACAGGTACCCTCAAATTCTGTCCTTTTCAATAGTCACATTAATAGTAATTAATCATAACAAAAAATAAGTAGGTTAGAGCAATATTTGCCAGTTTCTTACATACTCACCATTAAACCTGTGTTGGAAGGATACTTACCACATTGGTGGTATTTGGCGAGGCCCCGTGATGCATTAGCTGCGACACGATATTTACATGCCCCATGAAGGCAGCAACATGGATTGGAGTAAGGCCCGACTGCCGGGGTGGGGGGAAGAGGGAAGGTGATTTGTGAGCTTATGATAAGAAGGGTCTGTCTGCCCGCCTGCCCTCCATTCCTCTCTCCTACGCTTTTCCTCTCCTCCCTCTCTCCATTTATTTTAACATAACTGTTGAGTGAACACATCAGGCAACCACTTACCACTGTCACAGATGCTATAGGCAAAATGTATCAATACATAATAATCATTTGCCTAAAGCAAGTTTTGCAATTATGAAAGGCTTATGTCATACCAATTAAAGATTTATCTCATACATTTTATATAGACCCATAAAAAAAATTTAGAGAGAAATAACTTGAAGGTCTCTTTTTTTCACTTTGCTACTAAGCCTTCCTTATCTATATGACTGTGTGTGTGTATGTGTGTGTGTGTGTGTGTGTTGTTCTGGGACATGTGATTATATACAAGTTAGTAAAACATCAGCTTTTATTTTAGATCCTAGTCTGGGCTTTAAAAATGATTGCTATGCACTCAGAACAAACTGATTATACTACACGAGAGAACATGGAACCTAACACAAAACCATCCTTCCAAAAGATGAGCAAATCGGCATTAACTATTTCATTTAATTATTTAACTTTATGAGTATTATAAATTAAGGTGATGTAATTAATGTAAACATGGTCACAAGAGTAGAACTTAATTTTCATGTATGCTTCAAATCCCCCCCTCACACTCCCATAACACTTGTACTTTTGATATAAAATGATTTCATGTTTAATTTTTCAGAATTTAATTCTGTTTACAACACAAACATCATAACTTGGTAAAAATACTGAACGTGGCTTAGAAAAGCTCACCTGTTTCTTAAAAAGAGAGTGAGAAGGAGATAACTGACCTCGACAGAAATTTGAGAAATGTCAAAACAGATGTGAAAGTAATTCTACACAATAAAAGTAAGGTAAAAGACAGAAGACGAAGAATTGGGGTGGCCCTGACTTCCAAGAAAGGGAACTGAGGAAAATGAGGAAAAGGAGAATCACATTATAATTTGGCATTGTCTTCGATCAGCAGGGGAAGTCATTAAAACAAGTGCAAAGCAAAGCCCTCATCTAGGTCTGTACTGCTTTTAACACTCTTAGGGAGTACAGGGCTGGCAGTGGGACCTTCTCCTCACTGGCAGACCTCTCTGGACATTTATTCAAACATCAGTCAAAATCTTTTATTTCAGAGCCCATTCTGATCTTTAAAAAGGTTGCCATGTGCTGAGAATAAATTTATTATTTAAATTAATGGGGTGCCTACCATGAAGCCATAAGACTGATAAAAGAGCAAATCAGTATTTTTAACCATTTAATAGTTTAAAAATTGTGTTACAAATCAAGGCAAATACTTCATTTGCAGGTAAGAATTTGAGCCAAAGCAACAATCACTAGAGGGGATCATCTCAATTTTTATGTTTGCTATAAATCCCACAGTCTTTATTCATGCATTCAGCAAGGCTTTATTGAATGATCAACAGGGTCTACTATGTGGTGGACATACAAAGACCAGTGAGAATCAGGCCTGTCTTCACAGAGCCTGCAGTTTCTCGGGGACAAGAGGAACAGCTGGCTAATAAGTAAACCACCTGGCTAAGTGCTTTGATGGAAATATGCACAGGAAGAGGAGAGGGTCCTGAGGAGGAGTCGCTGGACCAGGCCAGCAGTGAGGGGCGGCTTCCTGAAGGTGGCCCCAGGATGTGCCTGGTCCTGAAGGATGTGCCCTGTGAAGAGGGTGAGCCATGTGGAGGGTGCAGAGATATGGACGTGAACCCAAGGGTGCCCGCTCTAGGGGAATGCCAATGGCTAGAATCCAGAGGCTGGGGTGCTGTTAGTGAGGTAGGGCTGGGATGAGCCTGGAGGGTAGATGCCAGGCTTGGTTTGGTGTGTGGAAGGTTCACCCTGATCCTTATAGAGTGTTTCTCTGTGTCGTTTGTTAACCAAGAAACCTAGAGCTAATGCTTTACAACTCAACAACAATGTGTTTCATTAATTCTGAGTTTTTATAGAGTGTAATCCTCAGTTTACAAATACCCACAAGTTGTGTTATGCAGGGATTCTCAACCTTGGCACATCTGACATTCTGAGCCAGATAATTCTGTGCTGTGGGAGACTGTTTTACACTGTGACATTTTTAGTAGCACCTCTGGCCTCTATCCCCTAGACACTAGTGGCACCATCTACTTATGACAAATAAAAATATCTACAGACATTGCCAAATGCCCCTTGGGGAGCAAATGGCCCCCAGGTGAGAAATACTGCATTGTAAGAGTTCATATAAGTTACACTTTCAGTGATAGTCCCTCTGGCCCTTGAGCATGAAGCATGTATTTTGGGTTATGCTTCCAGGCATGGTGATGTATTTGAATTCACCCACCCATACTCCTGTCTGTTCTCCTTTGGACTCACAGCCTCTTGGGTGAAGGGCTCAGAAAACAGTTGGTGACAATCACACACAGAACAACATTAGCAGCCTGTTGGGGATGGGGCTGGGGCACTGGCTGCTGAGACTGACTATACGCTCAGCACCCAGGAGCGCCCAGCATCCTCCTCCTCTCACCTCGGTTACAGCTTGGATGGACGCACCGTGTTTCAGAAGGAGCTCCATTACTTTAATTCGATTCTTCTTGCAGGCAATATGCAGGGGGGTAAAGCCATTCTGAAAAGGACAGAGACACATATCTACATGACTACATTCCACTGAAATCCAATTCCACTGTGCAGTAAAATATTTTTGCTAAAGTGATGTTCTGTAAAGATTTGGGGATGAGCAGAAACAATGAGAGGTTAAGCAGAATGTAGATTCTTTTCTGGAAGGATAGTAGTCTGGCTGCTCTTAGCAACCCAAGGTACCCTGGTAATTGAACAGGAAGTGAATTTTTGTCACTATCTCCTGGTAGCTAAGGCAAAATGGTTATACATTTCCTCAGGTTATTTTATTTTGGAATTCATATGTCTGTCCTTCTACCTCATTCCAAACACAGACTAAAAACATCTGTACCCAAGTATCTGTCCTCACAGCCAAAACTTCACTAATATCCATTCTGACTTCTCGGCAGCATTTTAGGGCAACTACAAGATCAGGTCTAGAATGTTTTGATTGCTTCCAGCTTTAAGATGCAAGTAGGTGCTTACTCCAAGGAAGCAGAAAGTAAAAAACCCAATGTTATTTGGACCATTTAGTTTAATATTTAATTTATTAAAAGAACCTGCTTTTCAACAAATTACCTGCTGACTTGTGCTGCCTGATAATTGAGACCACAGAGCACATTTCAGTTGCCATACTGAACTATATTCAGGTCCACTACAAAAGCTCAGGTTGAACACATGGATGTTCTCAGACAAGTCACCTGGCCATAGTCCATTCCATCATGGGCTGGCTACAAACTCCGTGTGTTGTGAAATCTTCAGAGTCAGTGGAAAATGAGAGTGAGAGCCCACACCCTGTTTTAAGGCTTTTTTTTTTCTTGTATGGAAAAATGAGTCATGATCGCTAATTTCTTTTCCTCTTTGCTCAGAATTCAAAGAAATGTTTGATACACAAGGCAGATCAACACTCCATGAAATGCTGCTCTGGTAAAAGCTCTTAGAACCACAGTGGCAGCACAGTTGCAGGGGTCCAGAGCTCCTCCCTCCTCTTCCCTGCCCTCTCGCCGTCCCCTGCCCTCCTGCCCTCGGAGCGCCAGGGCGTCTGTGGGTCTGTTCCGTTCCAACACGGCAAGCGCGCCGGCTGCGTGGGAGCAGAGACCCTTCCTAAAACGGCTCCTCAGACGACAGACTGTACCACAAAATTGCCATTAAACTCACATGCTTTCCCTCACATTTGGTGACTTATTTTTTTCCTAACCCTGAGTGTTTATTCTGAACCAAATTTAAACAGCTTACTAAATTGGAACCATCTATTTTTTGGAAGGCAACAAACACCATCTTGTTAAGAAAACCAAACTATATATAATATAGCTAAAGGGTTAAAATAGCAAATTGTTGTAGGAGTAAAGACTACACTGACATCAAAATTTTGTTTCGAACCAGTAGGAAAAGGATATGACAGGCAATATTTCATTACCTGACATGGTTAACATAAAATTTCAGTTCACAAATTCCTAAACCTCTCATATTTAATTAAGATCAAGTTTTTTGATCCTTTTGCCTCATGCTTTTAGAACTCGGAAAAAACTTTTACTTCACAAAACTATAACTTTATCTATGATAAGATAAGGCTGACCACCTCAGTCTTTTTAGACTTGCATAATCCTTGGGTTTCACTTATACAAGAAAATTAGTGACATGGCCATAAAGAGGTTAATGATTTAGCTGCATCAACCTTGTTCATGTCAGAAATAATTTCTCAGAGGGATATTTAAGAAAGTTGGCGAAATTCACTTTGCTTAACTAGAACTTCCATTTTTGCCTCCTCTAAAGTAATCCCTTCCTGTGCAGAAGTAGTAGGCTGTCAGCAAGATGACACAGGCTGGCTTTGCCAGCTCAGCCACTCACCAGGGCTTTGGCATTGGGGTTAGCTTTCTTGTCCAAGAGCACCTTGGCGACTTTGTAATGGCCACAGTGGGCAGCCACGTGTAGGGCAGTCAGGTAGTCATTGGTGACGTCGTCCACGGGCACGTTATGCTGGAGGAGAAGCTGGACACAGTTTAAGTGATCCCCTTGTGTGGCCATGTGCAATGGAGACAGTCCATTCTGTAACGCATCAGAAAATCAAAATTTATTGTTTTACCTTTTAAACGCAAATGTGCCAAACTCAAAATACAGCACAGATATGAACAGATGAAAACTCTGATTTTTCATACGGAAATACCCTCTTTTTTAAAGGTTCTGACAATGTGTTTTGAACTTCAGCTACTTTTAAAACCAGTCCTTCCACTCCTTATAGCAATCAAAAACCAATTTGCAAAATAATTCTTTTTTTAATTCAAAAATAGTGTGAGTTGCATTAAGGTCCATTATTTACTGCATTCCCAGTGAATTGGAATTCTTAATATTTAAGTCTGAAAAGGATAATAATAAAGGCAAGAACAGACTGGTATTCATTAGGTTGTTTTTTTTATTTGTCCTTCTGTATTACTAATACTTGATATTGAATTCTGTATTGACTCCATTAAAAAAGTAAAGGTCTGAATACAACACATTTCATTTTACATCAGTGTGGAACAAAAACTTTTCCTTGTCCACCAATCTGGTGCCCCCTTGTGTCTAAAATGAGGGAAGCTGAGGCTTTGACTAACTCAACTAAAAGCTTGCCTCAGTTAGTTTAAATCAACTGGGCTCAGTGACATGGTTAATCACATGCAAAACAAATGAGTTAAAAGTTCATTTAGACAACTGAGAGAAGATATGAATGGGGTCAAAGGAAAATAAAACTTTTAAAAGGTTAGAGTGACATTTAGCATTCAGTGTATGTTTCCTAATGAAGGCAAGAACAAGCCTTTAAGGATGTTAGTCTATTCAAGCATGCTCCTTTAAATATGGAGGCAAGGGGGAGGATCCTGGGAAATTCCTAGAGAATCCAATTATCCAAAAAGGCTCTTTTAATTACCCTAACATATTTTGGGAGAAAAAAGTGACAGCAAATTCAGTTTCCAAAAAAGCTATCATCAGTGAACTTTGGAAATAATGATATATTAAATATGCACTGAGGATCTAGGTGTTTCTGAGTCTTCCGAGCCAACATCTTTCCCATAATTAACCTATGAATGACTTAAACCTGATTTCAAGATAAGAAGAATCATGCAAGCCTTCCTTTCGTGACTCTCATGGCCTCATTCATTCACTGTCATATGTTTTGATTATCTGTGTTCCTTGAGAGCAAGAGGTTCATGGGTTATAATTTACCCATGCTGCCAGAGAGCCTTGCATGTAGAGAAAGATATCAATAAATATTTATGTAAATTTAAAGACTTCATACACTGTCAGGATATTTCTGCCTAGAAAATTCTGCTCAAACGTTCTGAACCGAAGTAAAAACTAAAGTGCAACAAAGGATGGGAACATTTCTCATCTGAGATACTGCCACCCACCAGCATATGTACTATTTTATTTCCTGCCAAGACATCCCTTTGCTTTATGTTTTGATAGTCCTAGAGGAAAACACAAAGTAAACAAGGAAACAATATGAAAGGACAAATGACTTAGTAGAAATGGAGGCAGTGTCAACAAAAGAAGGAGCTTCCCTAAGGACACACACAACAACCAATCTATGAGTGGGTAACTGTTAGGTCCCTGGGAAGGGATAGGAAGAGAGTGATGCTCATCTGCCCTGTAGAGAGGGGTCGTGTTCATATGGCATCCATCAAGCTAAAAATATGGACCAAGGTGATGGGTTTTCTTGGCTCAGAAGAATGAGAGACTTGAAGACTTAGATGGTCTTAAAGTTAGAAATGTATTTGTTCGCTTAGTATTCATTCAACAAATATTCAATGAAGGTCTACTATATGCCAGCTACCACCGCTTTAGGTGCTGGGGGAACTGTACTAAATAAGGCAAAATTCTTTTTTTTTTTTTTACTGAAGAGAGAGATAGCAAACAGGTACATAAACCAAGGAGAAGGCCTCTCTGAGAGGAAGACATTTGAGTTGAGAAATGTACAGAGACTGTGAAGATCTAGGGCAAGCTGAGGGAACACAATCTGAGGGGATAGGAAATGAGAACAAACAGCATATTTGAGAAAGTGAAAGAAAGCTGGTTGGCTGGAAGACAGGAAGGAGAAGAATGAGAGCAGATGAGGCAGGGAGGCAGTCCAATCCTGGTAAGGAATTTCTTCTCAGTGCAGGGGGAAATTCCAGATAAACATGGTGGATGTGACGTGTATGCGTTTCCATCCTTTCCCAAACCACTCTAAAGCTGAAGGAATTTAACGGGTAAGGTCCACGAGGGCACACACCTGTGTGCATGTACACCCACACACCCACATGGGGAAAAAATTAAACAAAAACAGATGCGTGATGTCTGCAAATTTTAGGAAATGAAAAGAGGATTTAAGTGCATTTACTCATCTAGCAGAAGAAAAAAGGCTGAGACTTAGTATCTCTGGAGGGATATAATCAGTGGAGTGCTGGTAAATGTTGAACAACAGCTTTTGGGAACGAAAACCTCGGAGATGTAGCTTTTGTCAGTTTTCATGGTGTAAAGATGCCTACTATGACTAATTCCAAGCTATCAATATGAAGTTACTGAATATGAAATTGGGAAGACAGGCTCCACAATAAGCTCACCAATCTAGGTCCAGCATACTGCTGGGGGTACTAAAGACAACTGGTTTACTGCTCAAATGCCCAAGAGGTCAGGGCTATGGAAACAGTACTTTGGAAGATAAAGATGAGGTTTGGGGTTGAAAACAGGATTGGTCACCTGCAATATGGAGCTGTCAGGTTTCCAGGCCCGCTGACCCAGCAAAGCCAGGTGACTGCTCCTTCATACCTTGCAGGAAACCAGTTTAGCCTCTGGAGAAAGTGAACCAGAGAAATTCTGGATGCAGGTAGTCAGGGCAGAGCAGAGGGCATTGGTGAGGCTCTGGACCGAGAACAGGTGCTCACGGAAAAAGGGAGGGCATTTTAAGTGCCAAGAGTATGGTCTCTAGACTTAGGCTGCCTAGGTTTAAATCCTTGTTCTGCAACTAGTGGACATATCTTGAGAAAGTTACTTTCTCTCTTTGGGTCTTAGTTTCCTCATCTATAAATGTGTATAATAGTAATACTAGTACCTCATAGAGGTATTCTAAGTAGTAAATGGATGAATATATGAAAAGTGCTTAGAACTTGGTATGTGGGTAATCACTATGTAAATATTAGTTAACATACTTCTGATTAAAGTATGCATAGAAGACAGGGAGACTGATAGCCTCATTTCCTTTTTCTTAACCCTAAATATATTCACACACATGTACACTGCAAAAGACTGGAGAATTCCTTGCTAAAAAACCTGAACTTTCCAGAAACATCAGAGGACTCCTCTGACCTGTCACCTGACATATGAGTGGAGCCCACCTACACAGCTATAGAGCTTCCACTCAAATGTTAGTGCCTGATACCTATGGTCAGATATAGACATTGCTGGGAGACCTCCAATATGAAAGAGAGAGCCAAACCCAACAAAGAGAAAAAAGGAACTCTGAGGAATTAGGGACAGATGAGACGCAGAATAAAATTAAAGAAAAGGTATCTCGAATGTTCTCAGAAAGGCAATAGGATCTATTGTATCCATAAAACAAGAATTGCATGTTTTAAGAAAAGAAGCTATCAAAGAACAAGAGACTGTTCTTGCATATTAAAAGCGCAGAAGAAAAAAAAACCAATATTTCTTAGGAAAAAACATAATAATGAAATGAACAATAGGAGATAAGGATGGGAAAACAACCTGACTTCTAAGTGTGCCTGTACTTTTTGGATATAATGAAAATTAATTTTCAAGAGAACAATGGGAATTCATTGGTGGATGTTTAGGAAGGAGGCTGACATGATTTGGTTGACAATTATATGGCCACTCTGACTGCAAAATGGATTGGAACTGGATTGGAAAGGAGCCAGGGGGAGTGGAGGACCAGTAAGGAAGCTCTGACAGTGGTTCGGGAGAGATGAGGTGGCTCAGGAGGTGGCAGTGGGGTGGGAAGAAGATAGCTATAGACTGTGTGAAAGTGAAAAAGAGCAAATAGAGTGGTTTAGATGAGAAGTACTCAAAAGGCCAGATGTCACCACATACAATGAAAAACTGTGGCTGTTCAATTTTGTTGGGTAACACCTCCCATGGCTCGATCTGAACCCTGCATTTCAAATGAGGGATGGAATTGTTCAGAGCGGCTCAGTTCTATCCAGCTTCGGTAGGGCTGTTGGGTCAACGGCGACCTGAGTGCAGCAGGAGTAACATGTGCTTCTATTGTATTGATCATGTCTAGGAAGTAAAGCTCTTTATAGAGCTTAATACAGCTTCCAAACATCATGGGTTTGATTAATAAAAACAGTAGTGACTCTGAGGCAGTTCATATGTCCCAAGATGTATACAAGTATTCTCTTTCAAATAGTGTCAAATGGTTTTACCATTAAAAAACTTAGTAGAACATTAATTTTTTCAGGCAACCATCATATGTTCCTTTCAGAGTATGTCAACTTCCCCAAAGGGCCAAACAAAGTGTAATCTTTCCAGTTTCTAGTTGTATCAGTTAAATTATATTGTTGACCTCTTTGCCAATCTGTGAACTCTCAAGAAATAAAATGAGGAATGGAGAAAGACTATAGCACCCACACTTGAGAGACTATAAATCTTGGAGGCTTTCCTTCAATGATAAGCAATCATTTCTGAGCTGTGAAAATATCAGAGAGTAAAATCAAGCAGTAAGTGTTCCTGTAACAAACAAAAACAACCTAAGAAATGACTTGTGGTAGAGTCCATTCCATCTAAAGCCTTCATAAAGCCAAACTTATCTTGAGGGTCTCTAATGCTTTGGTGAAGCAGCCACTCTAATTGCTAAATTGAGACTCTGTCATTTTTCTACATAATTCAAAAGGCTAGGCTAAATAATCAGCACAGGGATGCAAAGTTAAATCCTGTCAATGTCCAAAAACTTGGAAAGAAATTACCTTGGTTTTTGAAAGAATGGGGGCAGCGCGATCGAGCAGCATTTCCACCACCTGCTCGTGGCCACTCCTTGCTCCACAGTGCAGCGGCGTCAGGCCGTCCTGTTGGACAAAGACATCCTTCAATTAGAGACGCTGGGAAATTCTGTAAGTGTAGTGTCCAGCCTTCTGTGGGCCAGTGAATTTCAAACATCTGCTCACTTATCTCATAAAATAATTTCATATTTTCAACTAAAATTTTAATAATTTTTGTAAGTAATTGTAAGTTTCTATGTTATTAGAAAACTGACATTTAAAAATATAACTGTTCCATGACTCTTTTGACTATCCCATGGAATCTAAATGCTATAAGTAATTTGGCATCCACCATAAAAAATAACACAAACTTAAAATAGGAAAATATGTAATAGGCGTTCCACACTGGTGCTTTTTCCTTCTGCATTTTTATTTCCATTCCACTTTACCCACATCATTTCATTTTAATGTCATGTAATTTTACTTGGGTGTTTTTCATTGATTACTGTATATTTCTCTGCTATGAAAATATATAAATTCAAATTTAAAAAAGGTTTAAGGATTTCCTAAGAACATAAGACTTCAAATATCAAGAATATATCACCTAATTGGAGTTATCATTATAATTATTCAAACATGATCAAAACAAAAATACAGATTTTATGATTAAATAAGAATTTATAAAGAATTCCTCTTCTAATGAGATGTATTTTTTCACAACCAGTTCATGTATCTGCTAATGCATTATTATTAGACTTCATTAGTTACTGCTAGAAAGAGACAGGGTTCAACATCACTATTCCAATTTTTGTTCTTATAAATGTTAGTACTGAGACATTTTGTCTGCATAACTAAGTAGATGGACTTTTGTTATAGCAGTATCACTAATTCTCCAAACTCCCAGATTACATGCCAAAAATCATATAATATTTTAACGGTGATTTTTTTTGTCAATGATCCCTCATAAGACAATGCTATTAGGTCCATCATTTTTACTGGCAGCAATAGAATTCCTAACCATCCAATATGCCAAAGAATTTGTTGTTCGATCATTAGAGTCAGGCAGTTCTTAACATGATACCAGTGTTTTAAGTTCCTCCCCTTAGCTCCTCCTCACCTTACCTTCCTGCTCAGAGAGGTTTTGCACCCTGGAGCTGTGGGTGAGAGTGAGTAAGAGCTAGGGAGAAAGACGTTGTATCACAGGTAAGGTGGGAAAGGAGACTCAGCAGGGAGTTAAGTAGTGGAATGTTATTCTCCTGACCTATCCAAGCAGCCACAAACCCTATGGGGAGACTATCTCACACCCCAGAGTCTGTATACCCCAACTTGAAGATTCCTCCAATGGACACTTAACACCCACCCTAAGGACAGTCACATTTTTAAATACATCAAAATGTGGTTCAGTGTATTCAAATCACTTTCTAGATTGTGTGAGATCTTGAAAGTGAGCCTAATTATCATAATGTATAATGTAAAGGTACAACCCTATTTCTGAAGTACCAGCCAAATCTCAGAATTAAAATGCCTTAAAAATGAAACTTGAATTGTAAACATTACATATGTTGATCTGAATATTCTTTGAGCATATTTAAATATTCTGCCTTTTATGCTGATTTAAAACATTAGCTCTTCTAAACCAGAGTAAATCAATATAATAGTCCTTGAAGTTGCAAATAGCATTTTACTAATAAAATAGAATAAAATAAAATCAGAGAATAAAAAACACCATTAAGTCCAAATGTCTTCCCAGTAATATGAAACCTGAAAATATTTTTAGGACAAATAACACAACCACATCTATTTTCCACCACACACACACACACACACACACACACACACCCCACAGCATTTCACACAGGCCCTGCAGTATAGTGATTGTCTTCTGTGAACCAAAAGGTCAAATTTGTCTCTTTCATTTTTCTCCTACCTACTCTAAGATATAAGAGGCAACCCAGTATGTGTAGACATTTTCAACAGAACTATGTAGACAGAAAAAATAATTATTTTAGCCCAACTCATTTATTCTTGAAAATTATCTTTCCCAAAGCAAAATGCTACATACTGAATGTAACATGTTTGGCTGTCTAATAACAAATCCATTTTAAACCCTTAATCCTTTGGTGTCTATGTTCTTAACAGATGCACATTTTCACTGATTTCATCTTTTTTAAAAAAGCTTTAGTTATAGAAAATTTGAAACGTCTTCAGACGAAAGTAGACTGAATGGTGTAGTAAGCGTCTAAGTTACCTCATGATCAATTTGATTCATCTACATCCTAAACTTTTCTCCTTTCTTTCATGACTTTGAAGCAAATTCAAGATATTATATCATTTTATCCTGACTACCCCAATATGGGAGGTATAATAGTTCATTTTATAAATAAGTACACTAAGGCTCAGAGATGTTGAATTACTCATCTTAGGCTGCAAAGGTTGAATTCCGACTGTGTAAGACCACCAAGCATGTCTTGGGAAATGATACTAAGACAAAGCCTCTCTGCTCAAACTTCCAGTCTCTCTTAGTCTTCCTTTATATACACGCTGCAGCTGCTATCTCTGATCTCTGGTGTTTAATTTATTAAAAACTTAAAGAATCTAAAGGCAAAGCTAGGAAAGGTGAATTTTTTTCTTCTTCAGTGCAAGAGCTGTGAAGAGCCATTGTTCTGGCCATTGTTCCTTTTATTAACTTGATTAAGTTGGCTAGTTCTCCAAGGTAGGGCCCAGCAGTTCAAGCTCACCTGCAAAGAGCTATCTAAAAAATACGGCTCTTCCAGCTGTAGTTCTACTCGTAGTGGTTTAAACATTGATTACAAGTGGCTGACTCCTTTGGAACTTCTGCAAACTAGCTCTGAAACTTTAAAAAAATGCATGGCTCTTCAAACAGCCAGAATCCTGGCAGGAGAGATGCCTCATTAGGAAGCTGTATGAGCTGTCGTGTCAGCCTGGCTGTACAGGCAGTGCCTGCCTGGTGGCTGGGACTTTCACAGGTCAGTGGAAAACTAGTGCCTAGAGTTAATGTAAGATTTTAATTAGTTTATCATCACAGTTTTTACAGTCACAAAGGAGACCGAGACAAGACAAGCTGATCCATAGTGAGAATGAAAAATAACTCCCATGTAGTGATTCACACTTCATTCAGTTAAATAAAAAAGAGGAAAATGGACAGGCATTGACTTAATACCTATGTTTTGGACAAAAATATTAAACATTTAAATTTGGAACTAATTTCTTTGGGTTTGAAATAGGTATGGCTTTCCTGAAGCACTGCTCTGATTAGGATATCCCTGTGCTCAGGAAGATCTTTAATAACTATTATTCATCCTTCAGTCAAGTCAAAAGTCCTCAGATTAGCGTTCGGTCTTCCAAAATCAATCGCTGCTGTACTTGGCCTGCTAATTTCTTTCACTTCTCCCCCGGTTAACAAATGGCAGCTCTGGACTAAAGCCTCTCACTTTATTGTTCCCTTGCTTTGCCCACAGTCCTGAAAGTTCCCTCTCCACTTTCTCCTAGACCCAAACCTTAATGTTTTAAAAGTACAGTTGGCCCTTGAACAACAGGGTTTAAACCACACAGGTCCTCTTACATGCAGATTTTCAAATAAATATACCGGAAAATCTTTGGAGATCTGTGACAATTCGAAAAAACCTGCAGGTGGGCCACATAGCCCAGAAATACCAAACATTTATGTCATGAAGTAGATGTAGATACTAGCCTATTTAATCATTCACTACCATAAAACAAACAGGAGGCTATTAGTAAAGTTTTTGGGGAGTCCAAAGTCATAGGCTGATTTTCCACTGCATGGGGTTTGGCACTCCTAAGCCCTATGCTGTTCAAGGGTCAACTATAGTGTTTCTTTCCTTGTCCAAAACTAGATGTAACCATTCTACCTTCAGGACTCCTGCCTTATTTTATCTGAACCTCTTTTGGGGAACCTATAACTTTTTCCCTGGTATTTTAGTTATTTATAGGCATGCATTATCATTTCAACTAGTCTGCTTCTGAGGACAAGGTTATTAGTTTAAGGGATATTTGAATCTCAGAGACAGTAACTCAGTACCGTGTCCATAAAAGTCACTTAATACAAATGACAAAGTGAATGGGACTTTTAAAAATGTTTGCTAATTAGTTGTTTAAAAATTTCTTTCCTTTTTATCCTGTTTAAGTCTAATTTTGTACTTCATAAGTGCTACAGAAATATCTTGTCTTTTCTTGCAGGAGGAACAAAATTCTCAATGGGTAACTGGCTTGTATATTGGAATTAGACTAAAGAACATGACTTGGTCTTTTTAGCTCTCAGGATAGTAAGATAAGAAGTATCAGAGTAGTTGCTCTATGTAAGATTTTTTTCCCTCTAGTTCATAATAATATAAGCTTAAAAAAAAAGCTATTTTGGTTATTGTGCTTTACAGCATGGGAGTGAATTCTGGAATACAATTTCCCTAAAATTAAAGCAATGCCTATTCCAATAAAAATAAGGATTCTTACCTACTCCCAACTCTAGGAATTCACAATATATGTTGTCACTTAGAATGGGTCCTGGACCAAAAGGCAGTTTCTTTAGCTCCAGCCTCCAGCTAAAAAAATTGTGTCAACCTCCAGTTGAAAAATACTGGACAAAGGCAATATTGGGGGCTCAAGGGAGGGTGTCTCTAGAGGCAGCATATGCACTTGGACAGGAGAGAGGAAGAGAGGGATGCTGGGTTGCCATAGTAACATTATGGGAGGGAAATGAAATTGCACGGGGTTAGCAATTTTTTTTCCAATGCTCCTGGATTTTTAAAGCACCAACATAATGAACAAGTATTCCCCTGGGCAGAATTATGAAGCAACGCAAACCGGCTAGTCTAGATCTCATATTTCCTTTCAGTGACAGTAATCTTATTGGTGCAGTGGGGAGCTGCACTTTACTGGCTGAACAAAATGCTCTCTTGTGTTAGCCTAAGAACAAAATCTCACACATCCGAAGGTCAAAAAGACTTTCTTTCATGTCTGGTTTTTCTGAAAAGCATGCAGCAGAACATTAAGGTATCATACCTAAGAATATTGAACCCAAAATATGTCTTTAAGAGGTCAAATTTGCTCAA